CATACACCTAATACAGTTTTTCCAATAAATGACTAGTTTTGCCCCATTTTAGATTCAAACTGATTTCGGATATGAAATCAGCATTGCTTATTTTATACCCTGATGAATTTTCATCGTGCGCCGCGATCTACAAGATCAACTAAAAAAGTCCAAACTACACCTAATACAGTTTTTCCAATAAATGACTAGTTTTGCCCCATTTTAGATTCAAACTGATTTCGGATATGAAATCAGCATTGCTTATTTTATACCCTGATGAATTTTCATCGTGCGCCGCGATCTACAAGATCAACTAAAAAAGTCCAAACTACACCTAATACAGTTTTTCCAATAAATGACTAGTTTTGCCCCATTTTAGATTCAAACTGATTTCGGATATGAAATCAGCATTGCTTATTTTATACCCTGATGAATTTTCATCGTGCGCCGCGATCTACAAGATCAACTAAAAAAGTCCAAACTACACCTAATACAGTTTTTCAAATAATTGACTAGTTTTGCGTACTTCTAGATTAAAAATAAGTTCATATATAGAAGCAGCATTGCTTTTTCAGTATATAAACAATTTTTGATCATGAAATTCTGCCTTTTCTCATCAAGTTTCATTATTTCTCTACCATGAATTTTCTTTGTTTTTTTCGTGAATATCTTACGAATGGTACCTCGGATCAAAAAATGATTTAGATTTTTAAAATCAGCATAAAAAAATACATAAGAAAAAATACGGCACGAAGTGTTCTGAAAATAGGCAACTTTTGACATCCTCCTTTCACTCTTAAACAATACACCCTTTACTTTATACTTGATTGGTTTCATGTGTTCATGATCTGTTCATGGCATATTCAAAGCATATGAATTTTATTAAAAATTAGATCAAAATATGTTCATTCAAAGCTTCGATTTGAAACAACTAATTGATAATCTCGAAGTAAAGCTGGAAGATTATTTTTGTCAAGAGCTGTAAAACATGTTCTTGTTTTGTTTGCTCAAGAATTAGTGTGGTGAACGTCCACTATACCATATAATCAAGGATAATTAACTGTACAAGTGTCCGAAATAACAACTGTTATCATTTAATTTTAACCATTTGTCACCATCGAAATGGATAACGAGGCAAAATTAACAATCGACTGGAACAACAAATTGACCCTTTTTTCAATCAATTCAAGTTGACAGTTGGACAGCGTTATTAACGATTTTGTTGGTGTTGATTGTTGCCGAGTTAATTGAACTATTCAACTTGATTTAGACTCTATTTAAATGGTGAGAGTTGAAAGACGTTAACATAACCTTCATATTTATTGTAGTTCAACATCTTTTCTTATCATTATTGATGTTAATTGAATCATTGCTATTAATGACAATTAAGTAATTAATAATTGTTATTCTTATATTGACGTAAAACCAGTTAAATAGTTAAATGAGAAATAATGTTATTAATAAACGTTATTTAGCTATGATTAGATTAATCAGTAAACCAAGAAACCAGAGTTTGTCAGTTGAAAGGTTAACTTTTCAACTGAATTGTTGCAATTGTAATGATCAAAAGCCTTACAAAGTCAACAAGTTGATTAGTTAATTGATATAATTGATCTGACAAAATTTAAACCTTATTGATTGACAATTGAACGGAAATGTGTTCATTTAACTAAATAAATCTTGTCTTGTTGGGTTACAATTGAAGGGATAAAAATTGGTCCGGTCAACCTTGGCGGTCAACAGCAACAATTAACCAATTTAGGTTAATTAAACTTTTTTCAATTATCGTTAAAGTCATTCAAAGGCAATTACAATTGTTAATAATTGATAATAATTAATCGTAATTATCATCATCTTTGAGATGCTTCAATTACAATTGAGCTGAAAAAAATCCTTTTTCGCTCTTGTTGCTGCTGTTGTTTTGTTTAATTGACCGCAATCTGTTGATTAACAAACAATATCTTACATCAAGTTACCATTATAAACCCATTAATGAAGCTTCATAATGTAAATTATTGTTGGTCAACTTTAATGTCTAACATTAAAGGCAACCAGATCTGAACAACAAAGACTTGAACTTACAATCTCTCATTGATTTAGCTACAATTAGCTAAATAGAGAAACGTTTATAACTGTAACTACTAATTCAATAACATCAAATGGTAATAATTTCCTTCATTAACAAAATCTCTTTTGTTTCTTTCAGATTGGAATCGAGAAGGACAAATTTAAAGCAGATTTTTCGATGTCTCATCACAATCAAGGAATCTTCAACGGAAAACTGTGCAATCCTGAATTTGCCCAATTAAATAACAAGAAAAGTAATTGATTTAAGGTTAAAATTCTGGATACATAATTGGTTACTCCTTAGGCTGTCAATGTTTTAGAGGTGAATATTTGAAGTCCGAAATTCCAAGCCAATTCCATGCTATTGACCAATTGATGTAGGCGTTTAATCAAAGCCAGTGAGTGGAGCTTTCGTTGATAATGATCATGTTTAACCTTGGCTTGATTCAGACGTGACTTATTAACGATAATTGTTATCGAGTTGAAAGATGATTTACCTTTATTGAAGGAAACAAATCAAGATGGAAATGGCTGAGCAAATAAATCGTTTAAAATGAAGCTTACTTGGACTCTCTTTTTTAGGGTTAAATGTTGCGTTAATTTTTTTGCCATCTTATAATTGACTTTTAATCATGAATATTTTAAATGATTTAATCATCGATTTGACGTAAACCTGATTCACTTTCAAGCTTGTTAATTTAGTGGCTTGGATTGGCGGTGTTTTGCGTTTCCATCACTTTCATCGTCATCATCATTATTGAAATAAATATCAATTAGTAGACTGATTAGACGGGTTAATTGTTGCATTATAGATTACAATTTTTAATAAATCAATGACCGAACTTTTAACTTGTCAGTTTTTAGGCCAATACTGAGTAATCCAAGAAAATTGTATTCAATTGAATGAGTTTCATTTTTAATTTTTACAATTTTGTTTTCATCGTGTAACCTTTTCCTTGCCATTGTTTTTCATGTTAAACTTGCCTTAAATCAATTTTTTACATTCACTTTAATTGTCAATAGTAATAAATGATGAATTAATTGTCTCTTTTGGTACCAAATTAATGAATGAATCAGGTCAAATCATGGTGATTGTCTTGGTAGTTAAAAGGGATCTGACAAAAGGTAAAGAAAGCTAAAATCAATTCAATGTCTTTGAGAACACAAATTCAAACTTTATTCCACTTACTCTGATTCATTGTGTTAATTGTAAGAATCAAAGTAACAATTAAGATAAAAATACTCCAAAGTAACATTAATCGGATTGACAATTGATCCAGATTAACGGACTTTAATCAAAAATACGAACCAGAAAAAGGCTAACAGCAGAAGAAAATTGTTATCCAAGGTAAGTAAGGAACACGTTTCAAATACTCTTTTTGATATCAATAAGGACAACTTGTAACCTTACAATTAATTTCAATTTAAATAAATTTTGGTTTCTTTTCCTTTCCATTGTTGATTGTCAATATTAAAAATTGAAAAATACGTCCAACATTGAGACAAACCAGGGTTATCATTAGTCTGTAAAGTACTTCTCATTAACAGGTATTAGAGACCAAAGGTTTTATTGGTGAACACAAACAATCTAAATATAAACAATTTAAGAGAAGGTTTAATATTGAATTAAAAAATTAGATCAAATAAAACAATAAATAAATTAGATTTTAACATTTCTGTAACTCTGTAATTGACTGTAAACAACAGCGAAAGGCTATTTTCACAGCAACTTGTTTATTTATACTATATTTTTATATACACTTTGCGCTTTATTTTTTGCATAAACCGGAAAATTTTTTGTCTACTTGATTGTTTAATGTTACCTGTATCTCTATTACAATTGTAATCATCAATTGCTTATTTAGTTTCACATCAACAATACAATCTTTGTTTAACTTTCACTGTAAATAGTCAATCTAAATTGAGAGTCAATCAGGTTAAGCAGTTACAGGACAAAAACAAAAGGAAACAGTCGACTTGTTCAGGTAAGAAATTAAAAAAAAACACCAAGATGGTTAGGATTATAGTTATCATCATTACGATGATGGCGATGATGAAGTTTCTCTTTTTGACTATCTCTTATTGTCATCCTGTTTTCATTTCTTCCAACAGATAAGCTCAGTTAACACAACTCGTGTCTATTTTGCACGTTTTGTTCATTGAAACACAATCAACTTTCAACAATGTTAATGTGGCTCATTTGGCTGGTTAAAGACAATCAGATGGTTTACCAGTTTAATCAACAACAATTAGAAAGTACCAAGTAACACCACTAATAATAGAAGCAACAGTGACAAACAGCGAAACCAAACAAACCTTCAAAGTCAAGTCCAGATTGTCATCAAAGATGGTCCATTTTTTTGGCTTCACCATTAATAACTTGTATTGTAACCACTCTGTGCTGCTATTGTTGATGGTCAAACATAGTTGCAAGCGTAATTTAGGTCCAAATGATTGTGATAATTTACCCTTTGATTACCAGTAGTTGTGCAGGTTTACATTCAATAGTTGAATCTAAGGGCATGAAAAAAGCCAAGTCATAGCAGCTTCATCACTGTCACAATCATGCACAATAGCAATGATAGTTAATGATAACTATGTTGATCATTAACTGTCCATTCATCTTGACCTTGGTCAATTTTAAGTTTTAAATGTGAAAAGTGGTAAAAAGAAGGAGAAAAAGCATCAATATTTGAAGGTTCCGTTTACATTTTTAACCATTTCAACCAGTAAATTGAACCGTCAATGGGCTATTTGGTTGTCTACTTGATCCTATCAATTACCCATTAATCAGACAAAATGATTGGCCATATTTTTAACACAAATATGTTAACAATTGTAAATAGTGAAGATGGCCAGTTATAAATAAGCAAACAAATTGAAAATGGTCAAGTGAAACCAAATTCATTATGATAAGTTACACATTGACACAGTTACATACTGACCATTGAAAGTGATAAACTTAACATGTTGATGCCAGTTTTATGTACACTTTTAGGTTAATGGGACAGTTACCAACTTGATTGTTGGTTAATTTTGAAACATTGTACTTGTTAAGATGATGTTGATAATGTTGTTGTTGATGATTCTGATGATGTTGATATTGATGGTAATGATAATGATACTGCACTTTTCATGTTGTAAACAGCATTGGAAAGGGTAAACATGATTCCGTTAATAGTGTTAAGGTTAAATTGAACAAATTAAACTTTCACCTTACAATTTCAGGTCAGTGTTGTCATAAAGACGAAACAGGAAAATAGAGAAAAAGCGCAACATTTTCACAATTTTACTTCTTCGTTCAACTCTTTTAATCAAGTTAACCAGCCAAATGAAATGTAATCATTTAAGATTACAATTTATCATATTTTAACAATTTTAAACAGTTAATCACGAACCTAATCATGGATTTAATGAATGAAACATTTAAATGTTACAAGAAAAAAAGTCACCAAATGAATCCATTTTTTTCTGCTTTCTGCCAAATTAAAAGCAATTTAACGTTTGATGTACATCTCGAATCAATCATATAAATATATTAATAATAGCCGATTGTAATTGACTTTTCATAATTAAAAACGTGATACAATTAGTAGATTATAAACAGTCCACTCTGGCACAGTGGGCCAAAAAAGGTTCCTTAAAAGATGCCTTCTCTCAGTTACTTTCCTCTTTTGTTTTCACGTTTTTACTGACATTAGTTTCCAATTTTTTGCCTTCAATTTACGATTTTTACGCTCATCTAATAATAAATGTGATAAAATAATATAAATGATAATAAAATTAAGCGAAAAGAGTGAAAAGCAATTCAATTTCGAGCGATTGGGTTAAGGTCTTAACAATATTTCTGGTATCTCAACCTTTTACAAGGTTTTTGAGAAAATTTTATTCATTTTTCACGCTTTTGTCAATATTTTTCACCCAATCTTAGGTTTCTGTTCTTGGGCAAGTTAAAATGCCATTCAGTTGGTTTGATGAAACGCAAAGTCGATTCACTTTCTAGAAAAGGTTCAGTTGGATATTTGATAAAGCATGGAATATGTTTTTATAATTTTAGCGATACAATGACAATTTTTCGTGTATTCAATGATGAATCGCATGATGAATTAGTCCCTTCATGATTCTTAATTGAACATCAAATACTGATAATCAATACTCAACTGAACGATGGTTTTAAAAACAACAAATATTTAAAATTGAATAATCAATTTTTGTCCAAGACCAACAAACCCAAAAATACATTGGGTTATTTTTGCTGCAATTATTTCTTAATGAATTTTATTCCAGTTTCAAAGGATTTAAGTTCGCGATTTAAAAGTTAATCTTGAATTCAATTAGTTCAAATTGTCAATATAAATCATGGTTAATTGCAGTTAACAAAAGTTGTCTTCAAACGGAAGAAATTAACTTGATTGAGTTCAATCTGGTTGTGAAAAGTATTCATTGAAAAACAAATGGTTTTTAATAAAAGCTATTTATTAATACTAATTATGAATAAGAGGCAAAAGTGACATTTGATGTTGAAATTGAGGAAAGAGTTGAATGTTTACAACGGAAGAGTTGAACATAATTGATCCTGACTGGGATGACAATTGTTGGCTTAAGTTGACTTTAAATAATAATGATGATGATGAAAAAGGTAGACGAGAAAAGGTGATAAAAAAAAGGTAATCTTGAAGTAAAATTTGAAAAATGAGTAAATAGACAAAATGAGTTGAATGAGACTAGTTGAAGGTAAAAAAAAGGTAAATGTAAAGATACCAATAATTGTCTGTTGATTGTTGTTAATTTTTGTTTATGCATCAGTAGATTGACGTTGATTGTCTGCTTCTGGCTTGGAGTTATAATCAGGCAAAATCATGGTTCATGATCACTTTTTTCATGATTAACTTGCATTCCTTGTTGCGTCTTGTCTTCAAGTAAATGTTGGTTAAAGGTTTGAACAGTTTACAATCTTTTACTTTACAATATAAAAATGACAATTATGATGATTACGACGATGACAATGATGATAATGACGACAATGATGATGATTGTTGGGAACAAAAGTCAATTATAAACATCAGCATTGGTATCACAGGTTTTAAAAGGTTAACATTTAATCCACTTGGTTAACGGCTTTTGTTGGCATTTACATGTTTATCCAAGATGGTTAATTGTCAATTGTATCCGACTTTCAATTGGAATTTAAAATTAGAGAGAAATTATTATTTAAAACAATCTTCGTAATTACAGTTGCTTTTATGATTAAGCTATCGATTGTTATTAAAACAGTTCATTGATTGAGTTAGCATCATTAAGATGACTTAACCTTTGATTGTTCAAGCTAAAAGGTTAAATTGACATTTCAACTCGTTTTTTTACTTTCATCATTTGTTTTGTTTCATTTTAAATTTCAATTATTTGAAGAGCAAAACGTTTCAAATTAAATCAATTTAATTTCATCATTAAATAATAGTACAGTTATTACATATTCATTGTTATTATCAATAAATATAATTTTAAAAAATTTGCGCATCAACATTGGGCTGAGAAGGTTAAAAAGCTCAAATCTCAATCGTTTTAAAGGTTTAGGTTGATAACCATCTTAATAATTTGGAAACCAGTTTGAACAATAATCGTCAGTCTAAATTAATTTTCAATTAATCTTGAATTAGTTTTGAATTAATCATGAATTAAACACGAATTTATCTTTAATTTTTTCTCTTCATCTTCAACACTTGCCATTTAGTAAAGAGATTTAGAGGCAATCGAAACCTTTCATCTAAATTATATTTAATATTTATGAGCATCATAATAATGATTAGAATCTCAATTAACTAATATTTTGCAAACTCTTTTTCTGTGTTTTTCAATTTGATAGTCAATAATATGAATCGTTTGATATAAAAAGTAGAAGCTGAAATTGTAACTGTAATATTTTGAATTGGAGTAACACGAGCAAACGACATTGTCTTGCATTGTAACAATATAATAAAAGGCTAATCTAAATTTGACTGTATTGTAAAAAAACCTCACAAGATTAAGTTGAAAGAGCAATAATAGTGCCAATAGTAATAGTGAAACACATGGACTGGAAATTGAATGTGTGTGTGCGCTAAGGTGTACTGAATGGCTGGCATCAAATAAGTGTGTTCAAGTGTTGTTTATGTAGAGAGTTGTGTAAATTTTTTACTATCAAGCATCTGTCCAATGGTAAAGGAAATGCAAAAGGAAAAGAGAAGAGAAGAAAAGGCAAAGAAGGTGAAGCAGAAGAAGATGAAGATGAATAAGGAAGGTGAAGGCGCGTGGATAAGGTAAAGGTGTGCGTAAAATGGTTGAGCAAGCACGCGTTACGCGCTGCATATTGTTATTGACTTGAGTAAGGTTTTTTTTCATCCTCTTTTTTTGTCTTGTTTTTGCATTTTGTTTCCAAAGGTTTTGTGTTTCTATCGGCAAGGAAATATGTCTTTAGGCTATTTTAACTTGAGTGAGAAGGAGAAGAAAGAGTGAGAAAAGGCAAGCTGGACAAGCTGGACAAGCAGTAACAGAAGGTTGTAGATGCCAAAGAAGGTGGGAGGAGAAGGGAGGAAAGATAAGACGGTGAATCAAGATACATAGATTTTGTCAAAGCTTACATTGTACGAAAATCGTGAACAATGATGTTGTTGTTGTTGGTATTGATGATGATGATGATGATGATGATGATAAATAATGATGAAAAATCAGGTCCCACAGGGTGTCGTGCATATTGGTTAATTTTGTAGGTCAATATTTCAAAATTTAAAATGCTCTGAGAGATGTTCGACGGATTGGTGTATTTCCTGAAGTTGGAGTTGATGGTTTTGTTGATGGTGTTACTGGTGACTTGATGTGATGACTATTGGATGGTGAAGATTTACTTGTTATATGCTGGGAACTTTGAAGGTAATTTGGATAGCGGCTTGTTTTGGTTGTTGGTGAATTATTGTTAGTGTTGTTACCATTGGTTATGTTGTTCAAGTTGCAACTGCTGTTGTTGAAATGCCTTGATGAAAGGGATGAGTTAAGGTAAGAACTTGTACTTGGTGATCGAGTTAAATTTAAACTTAACAATGATCGATTAGGTTTAATTGGACTGTTTCGAGAGTTGCTTCCATCATAGGCCAATGACCGACGACGGGTGACTGAAGAGTGAGGATTATGCTGGTTAGAGGTATGTGAGACTACAGGTGAAACACATTTATCGGTACTATTAAGTGTGCTGGAAGAGCTACTTGTGCTACTGTGAGTGGTGCTACTAGAGGCTGTGGTGATGTTGCTCAATGTTGTGGAGGCACTAGAACGCCGAGCTAAGGATCGATGGCCATAAGGGGAACACCCATTGGGTAAACCATTGTAGTGCGGTGATGAACCATTAGGTGATCCACCTGCACTGCTATTTCCTCCACCTAGAGAGGTCCAAGGTTCAGGACTTGAAAGGGAACTACGACTGACCGGTGTTGAGCTTAAACATCTTCTTAGGATGGGTGTGGAAGGGACGCTTTGTTGACTAGATTGACTATTACGTCGACGTGACATACTCTCTGAGGGTCGAGTATCCATTGGCAATAAATCAGAAGGTGAGATCTCTTTAACCGGGTCTGATCCATTTCCGTGTCGCTCTAAAAAGTGTTGTAAAGTATCCCAGCCACCACCGACTCTAACCATTACATGGCGATCTTTTAAAAGCTGTAAGAGAGAATGGAAAAAAATTGAAACAAAAATGCATTAGAAATTTATCTTGAAAACAAAAAGTAAACAGAAAAGAAACAATTGTTAAAAGTAAAAGTGTCACTCAAGTTAGATGTAAACAAATGATTATGAATGATGATGATAATAAAAAGTCATCATTCTCATGACAATTAAAGGTAATAAGTAACACAAAAATAAATAGAGAATCGAGTTAATCAGAAGCAGATCAATCTTAAGTAAACGTCATTTTTGGCTTTCTTTTTTTAGTCTTATCTTTATCTCTTTGTGCCTATTCGCAATCTTAATGAAAAGACTGTTGCACTTTAACAGTAAATCTGCCAGGCTCTTTGCTCCATCATCATCATCATCTTTTAAAGTTTTAATCATCTTCTTCTTTTCGTCAAGTAGCTGTCATCTCTAATTTCTTTCTCCTTCTTTTCCTTCAATCAGTTGTCCCACATTTTTGCCATTTCTTATTAATAATTTCTGGTTATTCTCTCCTTCCATCATCTCCAGCTATTCAGTATTTTTCGTGATACACAATTTTGTCTTTGACCATAAAAACGGGGCAACCCGAAAGTGTAAAATGAAAATTCTGGTTTATCAGCCTTGGATTAGCCTCTTCGTTTCACTGGTTTCCAGTCGATTGCTCTACTTGTTTATCCTTTTATTTTTGACTCAACTCTTAACTCATTTCTTAACAATTTTTCTCTTCCTTTTTTTTGTCAGTTTAACTGAAATGGCTAGCAATTGAGCAACAAATTTAATACAAAATTTTTCATGCTTTGCTTTTTTTTCGCTTTGCTGTTTGCTACCTTAAAAGATTTACAATAATTGAAACCCTTCCTTGCTCATTCCTCTTCCTTATCTTTCAAGCATCTTTGCGTTTTTTATGACTCTACCTATCGAACTTTGGTATGGATTTTGACCCAAACTCTTGTTTTTGCTAAACAGTTTCTTGTTTTGATGAGCTTCTCAGAAAATCAAGATAAACATGATCCTTGTTAAACTGTCCGAAACTGATCAACTTTCATAGGAAAACATAAACACAGCAAGGCAATCAGGGGGGAGTTTTCAAGAAACCAAATGGGAAAAGCCAATTGTGAAAAGATAATTGCAATTATCTTGTGGTAAATATCAAGAGTAGATAAACTAAGCTGCTGATAATTTGGGTAAAAATGCATTATGGTAATAATTTGACGAACCCGAACGAAAACAATTTTACCAGCGATCCGGTATTTTCCTTCAGCTAATCGTTGAATCCCATGTTTGGCTTTTTTGCCATAATATGATTTGGCAATCAACATGACCTTTAAGAAAGAGAAAGAAATATAAAATTAATAAGAAATCGAAACAATCAATTTGAAAATAAATTCAAGTAATGAACGATTAATTTCATCACTGTTATCAAACAGTAATAGGAATCAAGTAAAGAGCAAGAAAAAAAAGTAAAGGTGAAACTGGATTTTAGCGGAAGAAGTTATCCAAAAAGTTAAATAACAATGTGCTTCAAATAAAACGAGTTGTTTCATGAATCAAAGTAATCCTTTCAATTGATATTAAATATGATTAAATTTAACGATATAAGCAAATACTTAATTCTATGGTAAGCCATAATTACTAATATCATGATTAAGGTGAATAGAAATTAAAAGAAAATGAATAAATAAAGGTTTTTGTTCATTTTTTTTATGACTTAACAATTGGAACAATAATCTGATGAAAAGAAGTAGAGAGAAGAGAAACAAAAAGGTTCAATTTTTTTGCTCAATAATAAGCATAACTGGAATGAATTTGAGTCTATTTTTTGAGGAACAAAATTCACCTTAATCTTTAACCGATTCAATTACAAGTTATTTTAACATCAATTGCTATCAGATAAAAGCGGAAACGGTTGTCAATTTTATAAAAATTCAACACCATGGCTATGAGTATTGCAAGATGAAAAATTGATCAACAACAATCATTCCAGATTAACCAGTAAGCCATGATTATCATCAAGTGGCATCATGATAAATCATCACATCAGGATCCTTAAATGTGGTTCCTCCTCACTATTATTTTACTGCACTTTAAATCTATTTCTTCAATTTTATCTTCTTTTTCATTTCTTTTTCACCTTTCATCTTCTCTTTCCATTTTAGTTTCCTTTCTTTAACATCTTAAGAAGGGGAAGAAGATGAAAAAGAGCAAAAACTAATTCATTGTTTACCTTTTGATCAAGCTGTGAAACAACTTTCTCCGATTCCTGGCCAAACGGTGTTTGAGATGATGTTTCCGTGGATTCAGCGGAAGTACTACTGATTGAGGTCACTGATGAGGCTCTTCCAAGGTTTTCTTGACTAACAGATGACCAACCATCAACACCATCATCACCGGTATTTATTGAACCAGTATCACTTGATTGTCCACCGGTTAGATCACCTGAATCAGGTCTTTCGGAGCATTTATCAAGATTATCTGTATCATCACTACTATTGGTTTCATTATCCTCATAACCAAGGATCAAATTATGATTAACATTATTATTGTTGTTGTGAAGCTCGTTGTTATCATCTTCAGAGTTGAGATTATTTTTCAATGTAACAGTGTCATTGGTTGAATTACAATTAATACTTGTTTTATCATCGATTACATTGTTAGTCTGGTTATTGTTGTTGTAGCTATGAATTGTTGTCAGTGGCGTTTTATTATTTGCCGATTTAGCTTGCATTTTCATTGATTGAAGTCGCTTTCGTCGTCGTAACATTTCTCTTTCCAATTCTGCTTTCTCTTCGGCGTCAATTTCTTGCTCAAATTGTACCAAACCTGGTGCTGGGGTAAACATAAACTTTTTACATGCTATTCGTGCAACCTCCAGTAAACAGAGAACAACATTTTTTGGATTGTTGTGTAAAACTAAATCCTCTGATTCAAACAGAACACATTCACGAACATTTAATTTACGGCACCATTTAATAAAATTAGAAACATTATCTCGAGCATAGAAGGTTTCACTTTTAGCATTTTCCCAGCATTTCATGGTTCGAGCACATATTCCATTGGACGCAGGTGTTCCATTTACTGGTGAATGACCATTTAGTGGTCCACCATGGTTAAAAGAAAGTCGTCGCCCATTTTGATAATAACTATTAGATCGATATTGTCCTTGATCACCATTAGAGGTTAACTTTAAACTGTTACTTCTATTGTTGAAAAAATTATTTCTGAGAATCATATCAACATTATTGCTAGTTGTGTTGTTGGCTTTAATATCGCTGGTATTATTAATGTTGTTGTTGTTGTTGCTTTGATGATTATTATCGTTTAAATTGTTACTCAGATTATTATTTTGCTTAAATGGACTGTTGCAGTTGTTATTCTGAGAATCAATAGAAGCAAGCTTCTTTTCATCAATATCACATTTTTCTTCAATTAATTTGGCCAATTTACACACAATTACACCATTATCCAGTTTGGACATGAAATTATTGGCGTCAATATCATCGATATCCATAATAGCTTTAAGCCAATCTGAAAGATCTTCTTTCATGGGAATCAAATACTCTTCTTGTAGCTCAGCGATACGAGTTTGCGGAGCATGATGATGGGGACTGTCCGAAATGTGATTAACTTGATGTTGTACATTCCGAGGGTGATTAGATGAATGATGATGGTTTGTTAACAACGGTGAACCATTAACATCATCCATAATGGCAAAGGTAAAAACAAAATTGTAAACAAATCAATGGGAAAAACAGTCAATCGCAGGTCACAAAAACACAGTTAAAAGATACAAGAGATTTAACCAGGAACCAGGAACCAGTACTGTGGCAGTCCGTTCATACATCAAGAAAAATATGTTTTCTGTTGACTTGTTTCGATTACTACATAAAAATTAACAAAAAGTACCACTAATTTACCTTCTTACGGCAAACAACAACATGCGACTAACAGTTAAATAAAAGTGGTAACAACAATCTTCGCTCTCACACTCTTTTAAGGGACCATTTAAGAAGAGCAAAACAGCCTAAGCCACACCTTCACTGAGAGAATAATCAATATTTTTTGGCCAAAAATTGCTAATTAACTGACAATCTAATCATCCCAAGATAATAATTGATCACAGAATCCAATTGTAAAACCAAATCATTCTTAATCGTATCCATAGTCAAGATTTTAATTAATTTATAACCCGAATCAACCCAAATTTTGTTACCCAACAATCCCTTACAAGCTGATCAATCTCGCCATCTATTGGCGTAAAGTTCTGAAAATCGATGCCGTTATGTGGTAAACTGTCAAGCACATTTGTTATTGTTATGATTAACAGTATCATTATTATTATTAATTTACTAATATTCTTTATTTTGTCATAATAGGTTATCACCATTGTACATTTATAATCATCCAAGTGAAACACCCAAATGAAAACTATCAACTGGTCTCTTCGAGAGTAGGCGGGAAAACAGTTTAGTTTATGGATAATAACAATCTCATCTTAACAATAATTATGGTTTGAGTCGATAAAATCTCAGGCATTTTATTCACTCCTTTCTACTTTTGCTGTTCTCCCCTTTCACAGGACAAGTTAATGAACTGTACTGGATTCCATGTCAATTTCAACTCTACCATGATAAGGCATGGCAAAATGGTGTTACATATTTAAACCTTCAAAGGGGAAAAGGATCAAAATGATCGGATTGCGAGTTAATCTAGTCTCTCCTAAATAATTAAAGGTAAAGATAGAGTCAATACTCTTCTTGAGTAATGTTTTTTCGTTGCTTTCGTATACATTTTCATTTATATCTTTGGTTTTTGGGTTTACCGATGAATGTTTATTTTGCAATTACAGCCAATTGATTTACCCAGCAAACAAACTTCCTTACTCTTGATTTCTAATGTTTAAGTTGATTAATGGGTAATATCTTAACTGTTAGGATGATACATTGTGATTGTTTTAGCTATTAACCTATTCTCTTCTAATTTGTCTAGATTGCTGCACCAGAGGTTGACTCCAGGACTAGGAAAAGATAGCAAAAATGGAGAAAGAAAAGGAAAGAAATTTCCAAATAAATACATGAAATTAATTGGCAAATTTCAATCTAAACCAGGCTGTGAGAATAATCTGTTGATTTGGATATCGTAATGTTTTGTTTCACATGTGACGTCCCATTCGATTGACGATTGTAATATTGACAATTACAGATGAAAACAAAAGTCAATCCATCAACCTGTCAATAAGAGACAAACATGTAACTGACTGATTGGTGAGTTTAATGGGTTGAAATGGGAATTATAAGGTCACTAATGATTGGGACAAGAATCAATTGAACTTTTTATTATTCAATAAACGTGATTAGAGATTAAACTTTAAAATTTGGGTAAAATTTCCAGGTTTCACTCAGTCAATTGGCGGGTAAATAATATCCAACTGATCCACATTTTCTGATGTCTTCTCACGACCACATTGATTGATTTATTACAATCAAATTTATTAATCTTTCTAACATTATTTCCGTTTTTTTTTCTTGCTAATAGATATGTCTTTCAACCTTTTAATCTGCTGTTCATTACCATAATATCCAATCTCATGGTACGGAAAGCTGATTAAATGCTATCAATCTAATTCATTTAATCGGGAATCATGTTGTGCAGATATAAAGGCTGTGTGTTATGGTGAACCACCAACTGGATTAAAGACGACTAAAGTTGATACATCCAAGGGACAAATAATGATCCATGTAAATGATTTCAATAGAGACGGAACTAACGCAACCATTATAATCAACATACTGTTGATCGTTAAGTTTACTGGTTAATTGGATTGAATTTAGGAAATAACACGCATTTTGTGCACCAAATGTAATGTCAGCCATGATTGTGCCTTGACTTGTCTCTTCTAACCCACAGCCTGTTGTATCTTAAACCTAAAGATGAAAAAAATCAGCAGGGATGTTGTAGCTAATGATTTCATCTTTTAATTTGCTAACTACATTTGGCTTCTCAACCAAGGAATACCTAACAACAGCGTCTATCACTGTCAACCAGTCATTTAACAAGTCGCCTTCAATGAACCATTGATAATGTTTTTATCAAAGAATTATTCAATCTGTGATTCAATCATTTTCCCCGATAATGTATTTGCATACAATTTCCTCTCTAACATCTCTGTACTTGGTGGTGGAAAAAATGGTGTCAATTCTTCATCTATCATCACTATCATCGAGTAATTGTAATCAAGTTTAATCTTTCTCTCTCACCATCTTCTCAATCAATTAACCAATTCATCTCTATTTGTGTATTCATCAACAGTAAACCTGTTGAGAAATTATTGCTTTACCTGTTTAATGCTCAGTGAATTGGCTTGTTTCCTTGATTTGTTGATTTAAATCAATTACATTATTCTATTATTGTAAACAAAGGGGATTGAAACATAATTAATCATCTAATTTTACTTCCATTTTTAGTTGGTATTGATTGGTAACCCTAAGGCAATTGGTATAAATGTGCTAAAAAACTTATTACACTTGCCGTAAGATCACATTTGAATAAACAAATGTACAAATCATTTAAAATTAAATATTCAACTGATTCCTTTGATTTCACTTTTAAATTTAATTTGATTGTAAGTGTATAAATGAATGTATAAATATGAAGAATGATAAACAAATATTGACCAGAATTTAAATCAATCCAAAAAATGTGCTCTAAAAGCAAAACAACAATTTTAATTGTAATTTGGTTTATTTTCTGGTTTTTTTCTGGATGAAGTTTAGTTTAAACGGAAAAGAGGTTTTATTTTCAGGTTAAGCTGAAAAGATGATGAAGATGAAGACAAAGATTAAGATTACAAATGAAAGGGAAGATGAAGAATGATAATGATGAAAGTGAGATGAAGATTGAATGAATGTTTGAATAATTATAATGGCGAGGTTGGCCTGTTTCATGTTGATCACAAATTAAGGATTGGCTTTTAACTTTCTCCAGGTTAACTCTAAATGGTATTATTATTTCATTTAACATTCAATTGATTAAAACAAACTCTTACCCAAACTCATCTTCAATCAGCATCTAAATAATGGTAATAGCTTTAATAAGGATGACGATGACAGTAATAAGAAACAAAATAAGGTTTCTATTGATTCAGCCACATTTTTTACTCAATATATCAAAATGGTTGCTAATTTTAATTCCCAAAAATCAATACATAATAAGATTATTGATTTAATTTTGATCCCTTTTCCAGATTAGCCAAGTAAATAGTCTTTCATGTGAATCTCAACAGTTTGGTTGTAGGTAATTCACATAATCATTGATTTTCCCTGTGATCACCTCAGTGTGTTTATAAACAGATGTTAATTATCTTGATATCACAAAAAAACAGGTTGATTTATTGTTGAATGTTAGGATTGTTACGCATTTGGATTGAACTGATTCTGTGTTGGATGGCAAATGTTAAGGTTTTGATTGAATCCATTATTTGATGCAACATAGAGTCTACTCCTTTGACTAACCCAAACAATCAATCAATTGATTGTGCACATTGTACTATTGACGACAATAATGTTAACCTTGATTTATTAATTATTCTTGTTGATCAAATACTCCGTGTGTGAGGTAATTGGTTTGAATGTGAATTGTTGGTGTAATCAGACAAATGTAAACACGATGAAAGCAAACTGCAATGGGAAACTTTTCAAATTATCTTGTTAGTCTTTCCAATGGGAAAACATGATTGTCAACTTGCTGATGATCCTGTATTGTCCTGTTAACCGGCTAATCGATTCAAGATGAACTGAAAATTATATTTCCTTTAAGATAAATTATCCTCTTACATTGTAATCATAATGTTTTCTGATGGATCATTGCGTGTTTCAAGTAATTTATACATCATAAATGTTTTGTTATTGATCGTCAATCACGAATCACAGCAAAGATATAAAATGGGGTAAAAGGAAAGGACCGATTGCACTCATTACAAACCAATAACCTAATGTCCAAATAGTTTCCGTGTTGTCCCGTTAAACTGGTCAACATGTGAGAAAACATAAATTTGGTGGACTTTCAAAAGGTTCAACTTCAAAAAATGAAATTTTATACATTTAGCTTGTAACAATATCGATATCTAAGGAATAGTTCACAGTTGTAACCACATGCACCAATGATGGGGAAACGCCATATTTAGGGAAAAGTTATATTCGTACATTAATACATTCGTCTTTTAATTTTCTGTTCATTCGGGATCATAACTTGAGAACCACTAATGCTACAGAAATGAAACTTGAACCTGAGAACCTTCCAAGTTGATGTATCAAAGCACCTTGACTCAAAGTCATTCAATATCATTCGTTCATTCGATCTCTAGAGGAAACTTCAAGGTTCTTTTATGCAAGGGTTCAAAATTTTTCAATATAAATGATAATTTTTACGAAAAATAACAATCGTGATGAACGACAGTAGTTTGTCGAAATGGTCTTTTCTGACTGAAAAATATTCAGATTAAGTTTTTTCGAAGTTCTTCCAACAAATAGCCTACAATGACGTAATTTTGTATTGGTCTCATCAATCGGATTACTATTTTAGGGTCATTTTTGTCTTATTATTAAATTTAGCCAGAAGTTGAATTAGCAGATTATATAGCAAAAATGAACAAAGTTATGCATTATTTCACAATCTTTAATGGCAGAATTCCTTATTATGTCCTCAGCAATAAGAGTGTGAAAATCATGATTGCATTATAAAACAGCTATAAAATACAATTGATACCAAAACCCAAGTAAAAAACTGATTTACAAATCAAAAGATGATGCTTATGCTGACATCTATTAGAAAATAAATACAACCAGTACGTTTAGGCTTTATTCAGATGATCAGATTATCTGGTCACGAGAATGCATTCGCCTTTGGTAGTTCAGAAATTTTTTCATAAAAAACTATAAATCGTATGGGACTGAAAATCTCTACAAATCACTGCTGAAAAAACCTATGAAACTTTGTTAAAAATTGATCTGATTCACCCAACATTTAAGTTTTATCATTCTTTGAATCGCACGAAATTGCCAGAAAATAGTTTAAGATTCATATAAAGTAAGCTTTTGATAATTTATTTTCCTGGAACTGTCATCTTGCCTCAAGGTACTACCAATAACCATTTTTCACCTTGGGTTCAAGGTAACCACGAAGATGGATATTTATTTGGATTACAAAATCATTAGTATAAAGTTAACCGTGGATAACTCCTCAATAGCTTCACCTTTTGATGAATATGTGATGCGTTGCATGTGTGCATATGAAGCACCAATTACAGTAAAATTTCTCAAATACCACTTCGTGTGCATAGCTTAGGTGCTATTTACAAAGAGTCTACTCTGAAAATAGATTTATACTTCGAGAAATGTTCATGAAATGATTTGATTTAAGTTTTTATTAAACTAATTATAAATTCTTAGTCTTTGGAAATCTTTCTTCCTCACAATCGATCACTGAATTTGTGATTTACAATTCATTTATAGTTTATCCATAGATTCCGATGAGCAGTGCTGCGTTTATGTTGCTTTGTAACACAGTGATTCAAGAGAATCACATTTTCTGAGGTTTGATTGTGCTAGAATAGAACGTACATCTAAAAAAAACTACAACAAAAAAAAACAAAAAAAGTTTTTGCATAACTGTTTCATAGTTGCCTCTTTCATTGCTGATTTACAGAAAATGCTTAATTTGCATTAAATGAATATTTTTGTACAAATTTCTGAACTGCTAAAGGTGAATGTATTCGTATGACCAGACAGCTTAGTTCAATTGTTGAAAGATCTATACATTGTATAACAAATGTTTCATAGTGGCTTCAATTTGGTTATTGCCTTGACTTGTTTATTATTCATCAGATAATGAAAAAGGATCCAGTTTCATCCTTTTCACTTTTGTGTGATCAAAACACTCGGCCACTGAATAATGCAAGTGATACGATTTCGTAAGATTTTGTTACAAAGTTTGTTTCTTTTGCTATGCTTGATTAGAAAAGCGAACTGCGTTAATCAAAAGTCGGTTACAGTTACGAAGTGCTATAACTACGCCGTGTCTTGATTTCGATTTCTGTACGGAACTTCTGAACAAGACAAGCATTTGAAAGTTTACAGAGAAAACAAGTGGCAGATGCAAGATGTAGCTCCATATCACTGAATCAATTGGACTGACCTGTCTGCCCGGATCAAACAGTGTTTGGGTTCGCACCAAACCGAAAACCTACAGAGAAGGCCAGAGAAACGCCCTTGAAAATCTATCAGAAGCAGCCAAGAGCTCAATCGCAGCTTTCAATCCAGAAATGGCTCAAAAATGCATCGAAAATTTCATGAAACGAATCGCCATACTGTTGGTTCTAGAGGGCAACATTTTGAAATTTTGATGAAATGTACTGGTTTAAGTATAAAGAGGCATTACATAGTATTAAAATTTACTTGCAAACCTATGGCACCACAGCGCACCAGTAATATTACACTTTTTAACACTTTTTAAGTTTAAAAGTAGACTGATTCAATCGAAAGAGACAGTTTTGTTGACTGAAAAAATGAATGGTTGAAATAGTTTATAATAACGCCAATAGATGTCAGACAACTCGCTTAAGATTTCGATTTTGTTTTTGTTTTCGTTTTGATTCTTCAATTTCTAATTTACATGAACGAGCTAAGCCCCTATCATGGCTGATCGGAAATTCGTTTTAATAAGCTCAATGCATTATATTCACATTTAAAAGACTCTAGTTATTGAAGAGCAAGATCCACAATTATCCGGCGAAAACTCCTTTTATTGACTTTATTTATTATCTACTAATGTTTTGTTTTAAACGATATTTAAATGCTATTATTTCCGCGTATAAAATTGATCAAGGTAAGTAAAGCCGATCGAGAATAAGATTCCAATATGTTTCATTAATAAATCAACTAAGCAATTACAGTCATAAAACGATTACAATCTAGAAGAAAAACTAAATCTAAAAAAATACTATTAAAGTTTCTGTTGAATTTTCTATAGCTCAAGGTTTCTGGATGTTAAATCTCGAATTGGAACTCATCTATTGTCGTTTTACAATTAAATATTGTATGATGCTAACCTTGCGAGTTAAGTGGTTCATCAGTTGGTTTTCGGTAAAAGGTAAATTAGTTAGCTATCAATTTTCGGTTAGCTGTTGATTCTTTTTGAATTTATATGTTTGCATTTTGATCATGTAGTTAAAAGTCACATGTTTTGACAAGTTCATTAGCCTCAAACTTATCGATTAACTTTTTCTATGATTCAACAGCCTCATGGAAAATTAAAAATCAAAATGAATCGAGTTTGTTTACAAAGTTACCTTGTTAAAAAAACAAGTTGTCTGGATTGCAGGTGCAGAAGATTGAAAATAAAGGAACCTTGAATCTATGGAAAGTATCTCAAGGCAATGTAAATAAATTGTTCAGATGAAATCAAATTGATACATAAATTCACCTTAAATTCAGAGCCATTGGTGATTAAGAATCAGCTCAAATTAGCGATCAAATCGGCCAGAGAAGCCCTAAAGCTCTGTTTTGGATAACAGATTCTCGTAGTAACTTGGTAAGTCATCAACTTTTTGTTATAAAAAGGCAAGACAATTTGCTATCAATTTATTTAGATTCACTTTACTATTATTTTTATCCAGCCAAATCACACTTGTTAGCGTTTAATTTGAATTAAATGTATCATTTCATCATTTGACAGTCAAGTGGATTAAATCCTGAAAACATGGCATCAAAAGGAATCAAGAAAAGTAAAACTCAAGTCAGTTCAAGTTTTTAATTTATGGATGGTGGCTGGACATTTTGGTTTTTTCCTGATTCTCGTGATTCTCGTGAAATTCATAATTTAAAATGAATTATTACAAGTGTCAGTGATAAAGATTATTCACGATTGCCCAGGAATTGAGATCAGTGTATTTGCATGATGATGAAAATATGCTCATGGCTTTAACCTAAACCTTGAATCAAAAGGCGCGGAAGTACAAAATAACTGGTGTTTCCTTTCAATTATTTAAAGACTAACCCCAAGGATACTATTATATTACATTGAAGATTGACCAGATTGAGGATTCACAAAAGGATGAAATACTGAAGGAAATATTTAAATTACCCGTTGAAGGCCAAAGGAAAGCTGCATCAATGTGAATGCCTTATTCATCTACTGACTGATAAAGAGTTAATTAGACAAGCAATCACGCCTAAAGACACAATTCGAAGACAATTTAACAATTGTAATTAAAGAACAGCTGATGCAAATTACGAGTCACTTCAGGCCTCTTCATGTTGTCGTTAGATGATTCCGGCAAAAAACAGTCAAAAATTTCCAATAGATGTAAAGAAAGGATTGATTTTGATGGACACTAATAAGCTTTGAGCTATCTTGGGAATAGCAATTTTCTTGGACAAGGTTATTGGTTCATTGATTGCATTTATTTATATATTTAACGGTTTTATTTTGATCGATTAACTTCAGGTAAACTGTGATCTCAAGGTTCCCACTATTTAGTCTTAACCCTTTTTTGTTTTTTCTTCTTAGATTAATAAACAAGCAATCAATTGTCTAATCATTTTAAGGTTATTTGGTGATGGTTCTATCATTGGGGGAAAAACAAGAAACAATGTGAAAAGAATGAACAGTAAACATGATATTCTGGAACGCAGTTGTTTTTGATCAATGTTTGGCTCATTTAACCCTTTCGAATCGCCAGATCAGCCAACCATCCAACCAACTCACTTACACTGTGATTTAAAAAATAAACATAAAAAGACGGATCTTTTTTCATGGCAAATTAATAAACTGGTAAACTGGTTTCATGAATGGCTCCTCTGATTCGATTAATTCATCTGGTATATCATTGATTGAAGAGAAAATTCTTGTTCATCCGATTTGTTTCAATTCTGACTCTGTTTTAAATTTGTCTACCAAGTATGCGGCGTCTAACTCTAATACTGTTGGTTATCGGATTCATTGATTTAACTTCAATAGCAGCAGCTAAATATCGCAATCGTAACCAGGAAAAGGTGTACCTTTGTCTTCATAATTGTGCTTTATGTGTTCGCTTCTGGGAAAATGGTTTGTACAATGGAGAAAAGTGTGCTCGAAAGTGCCTCAAGAACAAAAAGCGTCCTAAAATTATTGACCCTGATTGTAAAATTTTACGATTCTTCAAGTCATCCAGTTTAAAACATAAACTAGCTGTTGGTTAGTAGTGCTGTTCAAGAAGAAGAGAAGGAAATGAAGTTGGCTCAACCTCAAAGGATTGTCCGTTTCCCGACTTGTTTACATTTGGTCAGCAGTATTACTTGCATCTACCTTTTAAGCCATTTACCGTCAATTAATCAATTTGACTTAAACTGGTAACCGTTTGATGAGTTTTGCAATCAAATACGGAAAAAAGAGGGAAACAAGTTCAAACTTCAATCAAATTTAATGTGCTTCCACCATTAAGCGATTCATCCTTGGATTGTTGACTTCTATGGGAAAAAAAGTATTGTAACTTTTGTATATTCAGCCGTAAATTGAGTCGATTTATTTATATAAAGTAATTTAAAATTGTGCCTTCATTATTTTTGATTATATTAATCATACTTGGAATCAATACTTCACTTTCCCTTGTTATTAATAGCAACTCAAATGATTCTATTAATACAAAGATGATTTACAATAATAAATATTTGCAATTCAACCAAGATTTGTAACCACTGTAACTCATTTCATTTCAATTAAGTTAATCTAATTGCCATACTTTGCCTGATCCAATCCTGAAAGATGACGTTCAATGTAAACCACGTTGATAAATATTAATATTAAATCCATCAAGAATATGTTATCATCAAGGTTTTGCTGGTTTCTAGTGGATTAAAGCTGAAAATTATGATTATGATAATATTTTTTTGCTTCTCAATAGTTGTTTACAACGATAATTTAAATATAAAAGGTTTTCTGGAGAGTTAATTCAGCTTGAATCTCCACAGCTGAATCGTGATTACCATGGTTTGCCTCAACATTACAAGTTCAATCAACTTGATGACTAGTTTTCAGCATATCAGATCTAAAACGTCCAAAGATTTCCACGTCAATTTCAATGAGCTGGATCAGGCTTTTTATTACCCAAAAGTATAGAAATGGTTGAAGTAAATCAACAACTTGAACATTTCAACAAGCTTTCCAGTTGTAATTTTGAATTCCAATATTTCCATCACTTTCAGTTTTGTAAAGCTCATGATAAAATTGCTATAAGTTTCTTGTTCCATTGTTAGGCGAATTGTTAGTTTTGTTCACTCAATTGTTGGTTTATCAGACAGAAATTTAACTTTGCTTTGGTCAGACTGAATTATATTGACACTTAGCCATGAGCTGGATGTTAATCTGTTGCCTTTCCCATTCAGCTGCACTTCAATCACAATCGATTCTAGATGAAGACAATCGTAGTCAATCGGTCACAATCAACCTAATTTTTTGCTGTACCTTTGCTTTAATGATAAGTCTATTTGGATCAAGGATAAGCCATTCAGGAGATATTGAATTACGTTCACGAAATAACCAAACAATCAGCAGAACAAACGTAACTTTACCTTGATTTTGATTATCAAATACAGTTTCCGGTAAAATAAAATAAAACCTAGTTTTGTTGATCGTTTCATCTTGATTTGTTGATAAAATGATTGGTGATTGTTAAGTTGTAATTAATTGTCAAAGCCAAGGAAAGACGGTATAAAACTGGTGAAAACTGTTTCGTGCAGCTGCACAACTGATGAGGTTCTGTAAACAAAAGAAATGAAATAATCATTAATGATGATGAGAAAGTGAATAATATTGTCTATCATTGACAAACATATTCAATGTTTATGGATTCAACTTTTATCAATACAAAAAAATGGTTTTTATCGATCAATTTAAAGAATAAAAAACGAAATGATTTACTGATTATAATAGGCTGATCAATTTTACTCAAATGGGAAACCAGAAATCGAGAAAGAAAGTAGAGAAAGAAAGTAAACAAAAGTAGCAAAGAAAGGTGTAGGTTTACTTGAGCAAAAATCAAAATCGTTTGGGTTGTCATTTGCATTGTTAAAACTGTTCAACACCATTGAAATTCAAGCTGTGACCATAATTTTCATGTAAGGAACAACAAGACAAATTAAATCAGGTAAGTTGAATCCTCTTTATATCCAGTGTGTGTTAAGAGTGAAAATGTTAACCACTTTTGCCGCCATGTTGATCACCAGTTTGTTGCTTGTCAAGAAGCTTATTTGTAAGAGGTTAAACTATTACTCAAAAGTCTAAAATTGGGTTTAATGGATCCTGGTTCTTTGGGTTGTTTTGTCTAGAGTTGAACTGGTAATTATCCTTAGGGCAATTAGAGACCATGTTTCTTCAAGCTTCGAGAAATCGGAAGGCTTTTTCCATCCAAATTGAAGAGAGATAGACAGAGCAAACAGAGAAAAAAAAACATAGAAAGAAGAAAAGTAAGAGTGATACTGTAATGATGGGAACCAAAATTGAAAAAACAAGACGTTGTTTAACCTTCAACCATTAATAGTTTAATGAATCATTTTATTAAAACTGTAAACAAACAGGTAAACAATAATTTACATGCAACACAAAGTGAGTAAACACCTAAACAAGATGAACCAGCTCTTTCAGCTGGGTAGCCCCTTAAAAGGTTTGGATTAAAAATTGATTTCTGATTTTTTCCAATTTTTTCTCTCCTTCCATCAAAACCGTTTATAATTTCAACCATTACTCACTTACCATCAGATAAAACTTTCCTTGTGATTTTTGCTTCTTAGTCATCACATAATCACTTGACCTCAACCAAAACGGCAGAAAAAGCTGATTCCATTTTGTGTTTTTTCATTTTTTGCTTTTCCTTCTCAACTGCCGATCATATCTCTTTTAATAACTGCTTAACTGTCCATCCTTTAACAATTACACCTTTACACACATCTCTACAAATGATATTGTTAGTCAATTATTAACAGCATCAGCAAAGTTAAAACAAGTTGACAAATTCAATCCTTTGTCTTTGAACTTGTTTTTGTTCTTTTTGTTATTTCTCCTTTTTTTTGTTCAAATCTTTTTCATCTCTCTTTTTGAGGGAGAACAGAAAAGCGCTTCAACTTCAACTTCGACTTCTTTGTTACAATTTACAACAATCGCCATTAACACTCACCTCTACACTTGTGTTTCGCATTAAATAACATCAGCCTACACTACCCAAAAGAACGTCAAATTGGACACTTGTGGGTTTATTGTTTATAAAGTGTTGCCAAGTTTTCATCTTTTGCTTGGATTTTATTGTCATTTTCAAAAAGTCTATCTTGTTTATTCCCTATTACTTTCATCATAATCATCTTTTGTCTCCATATCTTACCGGTTATTTTCTTTTCTTTTCTTTTCTGGTTAAAGCCATCATTGAATATTAACCTGTTGCTTCAGTTGTACCAACTAGTTTATACCAGGAAAACGGGGTATGGCCTGAAGGACTGGAAGAGAGACCCTCTAACCGCTGTTTGCTCTCTTTTTTTCATTCAAATCTGGTTCTATTCATTTCTTCTTTTCTCTTTCCTTTACTTCACTTCCTCTTCCACAATCATCTGTAGCTGTTTTTTCATCAGGTAAACTATCTTTCATCTTTTTCAATGCCCAACCCTCATCTCTTAACTCACCTGAAAAATTAAAATTACAGAGAATCTTTGACTTCAGTGAAGAAAATGCAAAGAAGATTCTATCTTTACCAATCACGTTTATTTGTCTTTTATCTCTACCTACGATACTCAAACTTTAATAGCTAATTTTATCAATCATTGCAATTAATTCAATTCTGTATTCATATTTAATTTTCGCCACCTGTTGATAGGAAAGGGAAGAGAAATTTCCTTAAAAGTTAAACTTAACACTGAAGTGAGTCCTCTTTCTGCTTACTCTTTGCTCTTGAGATTTCTTTTAACTTTATTTTTCTGATGTTTTTCTTATCTTCCTTTTTTCCCTCTCAAATTCCCCTTCTTTCTCTTTCTCTTTTGCCTTCAAGTTCATCAACTTACATTTGGCGATCAAAACCAGTCAACATTAGTTGTTGAATCTGGTCAACGGTAACCAGCATTGATTTTACCGTTAGACAGAAGTTCAACTATTAGATGTGTTCATCAAAGACAAAAATATTGAATTAATAACCAGTTTGACTCTAAAATAAGAGTATTGGATTTGCTCTTCATCATCGAATGACCTGTGACAAAATGGAATATCCTAATCCCGATCTTAATCAGTTTATTTTTTAGCAATGGATTAGTGTGTGTGAAATTTAAACGGATTAAATGGTCATATACTTCTGTATACCAGGATTGCTATTGTAAATAATAGCAGTGTGATCAGTGTCGCTCGTTGCTTCACTTCTCTTGCCAACGTTTTTGTGGTCATTTTTTGTTTCTCCAAGTCTTTGTTCACTTTGTGAAGTATTTAGTTACTCTTTCTTCTTGTGATATTTCTTTTATTGCCAACACCAAATATTTATCAACAACACCATGATAAGCTTACTGTGTTATATTTATCCTTTATTAATTTGTGGATATGAGCCACCTGAAGTAACAATCGGTTGGAGCCGAATAATGGGAATAAGACAAGAAGTGAATAGCAACACCAAGCATGATGAGAAAAGCATGCTAAATGTTTTCCTTGGGATACCTTATGCAGAACCACCTTTAAATAGTTATCGTTTCCGCCCCCCGGAACCAATAAAAAGTGTAAATTATTTTGGTTACTATGCTGGTAAATTTAAACCCAGATGTATATCTCCTGATTATTATGAAAAATTTCTTGGCTCCACTTTTGATGACCAACAAGAAGATTGCCTTTACCTCAACATATGGAGTCCATCTAATTTAACAGACCCGAAAGACCTCAAACCAGTTTTGGTTTATGTTCATGATCCATCGATTGATGTACGATCAATTGATGGTGCAAAACTTTCTCATCGTGATGATATGGTTGTAATTACATTTGACTATCGAACCGGTTTATTTGGATTGATTGAAGGCTATGACAATCAAATATCAGACAATGCCATTTTCCATGACACCAAAGCCGTCCTTAAATGGGTTCAAGAAAATATCTCACATTTGGGTGGCGATCCAACCAAAGTAACCCTTTTCGCTGAAGGAAAGGAAAGCGTTCGAGCCGGTTTACAATTTTCTTATGCAATCAATGAAAAATTATTTGCCCGAATGGTTACCCGTAATGGACCAAAGCTTGCCTCTTTTGATACCGATCAATCAATCCAATGGCAAGATGTGCTTGATGTAGCTGAGAAAGTTGGTTGTGACCAGAAGAAAAATCAACTTCTTTTGCTTTACTGTCTACGCAATTCGGATGCCAAGGATTTGATTAATGGATACCTGTCAATCAATGGTTCCTCGACATCCTTAAACTTATCAACGATCACCTATTCTCACATGTTAAATCATTAAATTGACTTGTATTTAAACTCATTTTTATAAAACAAAAAAAAAAGTAAAATTGTAAATTTCATTGTCTCAATCGTGATATCAACTTTTTATTTCTCATTATTTTTCTATGCTAATGATATATTCTCTAATTGCACAACATATAGTTATTGAAACCTGGTTAACCTTTTGGTCAATATTACAGTTAACATCTTATTTATTAATGTACGTTATAAATACTATTAAGGTTAATTAAATTGACGGTCAAAGTGAGAGAGGTCAAGTTTCTTTATTTTCATTGTTGAACAGCAAAAAAGTGAATCTGATATTGTGAACTTGAATGGGAATTTGTTTAAATTTTTTACTTCTCAACTTAACAATTACAATTTGTTAATTTTCATTGTTTATTTGACGTTTTTACCTTTTCTTAATGGCCACCTCGCAATGAAAATCATTTTTAATAGTGTTAATATATTGTGACCTTTTTTGTTTACTAAAAATGACTATCAATTACATGCATTGTAATTGATCTCATTGAAGAGGGTCATCATGCAAGGGTAATGGTTGTCTTAGCATTAGTCCAGAACGTTGAATAGTCTCGAACAATTGTTGCCCTGTAATGGAAGCAAAAGAACAATTAATTGATTAATACTCGAAATTATATCCAATGAAAGTAAAAGATTCAGGTTGAGATCGGTTGAAGATTGAATCTTATTTTCAATCATTACTTGTGTTTTATTAATAAAGATGGGAAAAGAGCATTGAATCTTCATCTCACAGACTAATCAATGGCTAATTATCACGAAAACTTTAATTACAAGCTACAAGTCAGCAACATTGGAAGCACAATCGCGACTTTTCAATAGTGTTAAACAATTGTACGGTCAAATTGAATGCTAATTGTAAGATGTTTGGGAATAAGTCTACACAGACATTTATGGACAGTTGATTAATTACACATCCATGCAAACTACGTCATGTTTTAGATGGGTAATAAATAAAGTTAGAAACGCGTATCAAATAGCTAGTGAAGCTATACGTTGTGATTAATTTACATGATTGACATAAAAAAACTACGCAGTTGTTTAACTTTAGATTTGGCGTGAATAAGAAGTGACGAAAAGGAAAGATTCCAGATAAATAAAGCTATAAATGCAATAAAACTTACATTAAGTCAATCGATCCTGTGGCTGAAGCTGGTTTGGTCCATTCAATTTCCACCTTCTTTTTACCGACATTGTCAATATGAGTAAGAGCATTCTGTTATTTGGGAAAGAAGAGGTTAATTAAAATGCAAAAATGAATGAGTTTTGATAAATTACTTACTCCTTTAGGACAGGTTAATGTTTTCGAGTTGGTGGAAGAGCCAAAATTTCCGATATATTTTCCAGCGGAATCAACAACAGCTAATAAGAAACCTTTGAAGTCATTTGAATCGGTTGATTTTATGGTAATTTTGTACTTTCCTCCGCCTAACGAGACTGCTTCAACCTTAAATGGTGCCGGTGATGTTTGTGGTTCAACCATATGACCAGGAATACGAAGATCACAGGAACCTTCAGGAGCACCAGAAGGATAGGCAATTGCCAGAAGACAGAGAGATGAGATGGTCAACAATTTGAAAATCATTTTAAAATATTAACCAAAATAGTAACTTTGTACAAATGTACGAAAAAAGGTGAGAGACAACAATGATCTGACTAGGTCGATGTTGAAATGAAATGAAAATTCTGGAGATGGATCAAGAGAATGATGGTGAGATAAAGTTGAGTAAAGTGTCTAAATAGATGAGGAAGAGAAAGAAAAAGTTGATTCTGTCGACGGAAAATATTTATCTTGCGATTGCTGTTCACTATTTTGTTACAGATTGAACCGATGACCGAATAACAACTTTTCAAGTTATAAGTGGCGCCACTTGTAATTAAAGTAGGACAAAATTAACAGAGACAGTTGGTTGAATAAATCATGGGGAAATTAATTGCTACATGTTGGTAACTGTTGAAGTCAAAAGGCATTAACCAGATCAAAAAGGAGATGTTTGGAAAAGAGGAAGAAATGATAAAAGCGTCAAGGAATCAAGTTTGATGAGTGGTGAAAATTGGAGTAAAATGATTGTGATGAGTAAAATAAATTAAGGAGTTGAAGATAGATTGGCAAAAATAAATAACATTGTCTGTTTATAAATTGATATCGCTTGATTTATTTAACCACAATTAACTCTTTCTGTTTTCCATTTAGTAGTGCTAGATCAGCGTTTGACCGAATAATTATGATTGACATAAAATATCATAGGAATATCAACAACCCCATTCTTTGGATATTGATGGTACAAATTATTCAGCTAGTTTTATTTGCTTTGATTTCGAGACATCAATTATTGTTACCGCTTCAAGAGACTACAGGTTTCTTTTCAATTAAAAAGTAAACACCAGGCAAAAATGAGATTAGAAGTTGCTTTGTTACTGTGAACAGCATCTCTCCAATTATCAGTTATCTGGTTACATCTTTGTCCAAGAGTATGTATATTCAGGTCATGTTAAGAACTGTGATTTCCAATCAAATCTTAACTGATTAGGTTAAAGATGATAGTGGTGAAGAATTAGAAAAATAAAAACGGGCGTTTTAAAAGATGAAGGGAATTTCACTCTTTAGGTACCAATGAATTATCTAGACCATCAACTTTCAAATTGGAGAAAATCAGGTCAATTGATAGTAACCTATGAGGTAAACATGAGCAAATCAATTGATTTAAATTGGCGTAACTGTGATAATAGGGGAAATTGAATATTGATAACACTAGGACGATGGCTCTAAATATAAATAATACATTGAACCATTAGTCAATACACAGCTTTGAGTTAGAAAAAAAATGTTTTTATGAAAATAAATAACTTAAGTGGCTTAAATTCACAGTCAAATAAGTAACGCTCTGGAATAAACCACAACTACATATAAATGTTGACAAGAATTATCAGGAATGGAATCCTAAGCCAGTGCGACCCTCAGAAGAGACCAGGGGTACAGGTTGAGTATCTCCTGATGCAGATTTTCCAACTCCTGAACCCTTTTTCCAACCAAGTTTTTGAAGCATCTTAAATCCTTTATTTTCTTGGGTTAATGGTTTATCTAATGATGTTCCCTCTCCAGTCTTTTCATAAGGATTATCGCTTCCTTTTTCAAGTCTTCTCTTCTTGGCACGATCGTTATAATTTTGTGGTAAATTCACGAGATTCTCATTATCCCAAGAAACACCATAACGCTTTTTTAGCTTTTTAAGCGCAGTATGGCGGTCTTCAACAATCACAATGTCCTCTTCATCATCTTTTGCCAATCTACCACAAACGATAAGGTCAGCTTGAACACAACCAGGTTCGCATCCATTGCAGGTCACTTCTTTACCATAATGATGATGAAGTAAAAATTCAGTTTTTGCTAATTTTAGAATATCTCCATGTTTGATGACTCGAGTTTCATCTCCTTTGAGTCGATTTCCGTTCAAGAAAACGCCATGTTTACTAGAACAGTCAGCAATTAGATAGCAGCGTTTTTTCTGATCATAAGAAATGCGGGCATGTTTTCGACTCACACTTGGATCTGTGATGACTAAATCACATACAGGACTGTTACCTATCAAGGCACCTGTTATAGTAATTAGAAGTAGACTTCCCAATTTCAAAGATTCTGATTCTCTAACGATTAAACGCAGACAAGATATGTTGGATTCATCATCATTGATATCAGAATCATAGCTATCCACATCTTCCATATCAAATTTTGAACCTTTTTTGCGACTGGATTTGTCATTTCTCTTAGGACTTGATTCACATGATGATGAAGACAATTCTCCCTCCTCAGATTCTTGTTCAGCTTTGTTCTTTTTATCCTTCTTGGAGACCTTAGATTCATCGGCAGTTTCCACTAAATATTGATCATAACTTTTAGTTTCTTGGTTGAAGGTATAATAATTTTTAGACTTAGGGTCAAAGAAAAGCTTTTCATTTGGATAATAGTACCATCCAGATGATTGTGAATAATATGTTTTGGATGTGGGTTCAAAAATATAGTCATTAGAGTCCACCACTTCTTGAGCTATTTTGGCCCAATCAGCAGCTTTCAGTTGCTTACAATTCTCTTGATTATAAACAGCATTATCACTTTGATTCTGAGATGGGTTTTCTTTGGAAACTGCAGCTGATTGACAGTATGTACATCTCTTGGTGTTATCAATTGATGATTCTGTTTGAATAGATTTATCGGCACGACCTTCACAGACTCCCAAGAGTACATGTAATTTACTGTTGGTTAGATCAATTTGACTGATCAAATCTTTATTAAATCTCGTTAATTTAGTAATTTCATTTGACAATTTGGAGTTATTCCTTTGAGCCTCTTCCAGTTCACGAATTTTCTCTTTCAACTTAAATTGAAGATCTGAAACCGATTCCTCCTCTTGAGAAGTCTCCATTGTTGAGGAATAAAATCACTAATTTAATCCAGTTTTTCAAATGAACATTTTAACTTGAAATTAAATAAAATTCAATTGACAATAACAAAAAAAAACATGAAACAGTTTTTTTGTGATTAACGTTGCTAGGATATATCAAGAGCTATTTTCACAGAAAATGCTCTTAGACTAATTCGTAAGAATACTGAAAGTCAAGAAACTAAAAATTTTACCGTCAATGCGATTAACTTAAAAATTCATATTTAATAAATTCACTTCTAAATATATTAAACCGATCCAATTATTTTTTTAAATGATTAACACAAGGTTTATTAATGTTAAAAAAGTAAAATTTTAATAACAAATATGAGGTCAATTTGATAATGTATCAAATGAAAAAATATGACTTTGTTGGTGGTGTTATCAGTTTATAAAAATTATAAAAGCTTTTTGATAGCGATTGAAGATGAAAATGAAAGAGACCAAAAACGTAAATATTTTGGGTCTGAATGGTTTGTTTGGGGATGAAATTTATGAGTGTAATCAATTTATCAATCGAAGAGAACGGATAACTTCAATGGGACTAGAAAAATGGAAACATATCATCTCTATTGTGATGATGATGATAACGATGCCTCCTTCGATTTCTGTTTATGTAAAAAGTGTTTGTCGTTGTTGAATATGATCTTGGTTTTTCACGGAAAAACGATTCTTCCAAGGCAGGAGTTTGTTTATAAATTATTCTGTTTTTCTTTGGGCGTCTTGAGGAATTGATGGATGCTTCTGAAACATTTATTGGAATTGGTTTCGGTGGTTTGGTAGGTTCTGGAGCAGGTTTGTCGTTTAATTTATAAAATTGTTCACTTTTACCACAATCAACATTAAACCACCAGCTGCAAACTGAAATTTCTTGATTAAATATGGTTCCATTTGGACACATAAATGATTGCATCGATCCATGATTACAGTGATGATAAACCTGTATGAAAAATTAAATTTAAATTAGCAATTTAGTTTAAAGTTAAGTTTGGATAGATTTATCATTCAAATACAATGTTTACCTGACATCGAAGATTCATATCAGCATAAAATCCAGATGTTCTTCCTTTACAGGAAAAGTCAATTTCTTCAGGAATTTTAGGTAAAGCAGGATAATCACGGCCAGCTCCACCAGGTATTCCTGCAAGCTCATCAAGAATGGAAGATGATAAACCTCCACTGTTTTGTAATGTTTTACTAGCTGGATACCTTTTTGGACTTGATTGAACTGCTGTTGTTTGTGATGCTGGAGCAACTGAAGGTGGTGCACTTAATTTCTGATTTAACTTTTTAATCTTTGGATTTGTAGGTTGTTTATCATTAATTGCTTCATTATCTGGTCGAATTCTTGAAACTGGCACTTCAGAATCGAAATTTTCAAAAATGTGTTTATCTTCGTCAAATGAGACTCCATCATTAGATTTATCAGATGACGAATGAGATTCAGCTGGATCTGTAGTTTCTGTGGCTTTAAGATCTATTTCATCAAAAAGATTAGCTCCTATGGGCTCTCCATGACTTCCATGATCTGGAAATGGAGGTTCATAGTGATATTCATGTTTTAAAATCGGTCGAGCAGTTTTCATTGCTTCTTCATTTTTAATAACACTTGACTCTTCTGTTGTAGGTTTAAGTGTTGAAAGTTCAAAAAAATAATCGTCTTCTGATGCAATTGTAGTAGTCGTTTGAGGTTTAGATCTACTTAAAGGTGGAGACGTAAGTTTTCTTTGTCTACGTTCATTTCGAGGAGCTGCGTCTGATTGAGTTGATCTCATCCACTGATCACCCCATTGTTTATACTGATAAGCTACTTTCTTCATGTTGTAACCACTCTTTTGACCTCTAATAGAGCCGATAGCAAAAGGTCTATCTCCATAACTTAACGTGGCTTGATCAACCTGAGACTTTTCCAATGTTAACTCTTCAACCGGCTCAGTGGTAGGCATTGGTGTTGTAGTACTAGTTGATGTGGTTGTAGAGGAAAAACTGCTTAATCCAAAAGCACTATTATTTTTACAAAGCTCAGCTAAGTATTTCAGTTCAAAAGGAAAATAGTATCTAGTTGTGTCACGACCATTCGAATCACCAGAATCGGGTGACTTGGTAAAAGCTGTTCGTTCATTAGCACTGTTTGCCTGGTTATTGTCTTCAATGGGTTGTTCTGCAGCATAATAGTTGGCAGTCGTAGTTTCGTGATGTGATTGTTGATTTCTTTGGATTTCATGATTAGGATCATCGTCATCATTGGAAGATGCAAACAAAGGAGAAACTAAAAGCCCATCATTCTCTGATGCTGTATCATCCCAAGACCACGGATTAGTTGTGCTTCCAGAAATCAAACTTCCTTCAATTAATGGGTCAGCCGTAGAACTAGTCACCTTCCCATCAATGTCATTTTCTTTAACTGTTTCTAGTTCTGAATCAAGAGCTTCATTTGAATTTGGCGTTACATTATCATCGAAATAAACATTTGAAGGCTCTGTTGGTTGATTTGTTGCAGCTGTAATAGGTGGTTCAGTTGTTGTCGTGGTTGTGGTTGTAGTTGTAGTCGTAGTCGTTCTTTTAATGTCAGATGATCTTAAGGGAACCATTCTTTCACCAAAATGACCATAATCGTATTTAATTTGGCTATTTCGTCTGTTTTCAGTTGCACTTGATACTGATTTATGTGGAAGTTCATGTTTAGTTTGAATATCATGATTTTTTATACCATTTCTTCTTTTGTAACCAGAATAATCAGTTGATGTTGAAGGAGTGACATAAATGTTTTCATTTGGCTTTGAAATCGGTTTTTCAGTTTGTACCATTTGGTTTGCTGATCGAGCATAATAAGGATGAGAATCTGAATTATTTTCAACATTTTCACTAACTGCTTCAATATAAGCAAAAGGTGACATTTCATATGGGCTCGGTTGCTTATGTTTATCCATTCCATTATCCGAATGATTTTTATCCAGCTCTGTTTCATAATCTAATGGCTCTAAGGGAATTCTGGTTATTTTAGATTTATTTATCTGACCTAATTGACCAGAAGCCAATAAAACAGTCCCAAGATTACCAAGATTTTTCACTGCGTTGACTGGTGGAATATTTTGTTCCTTGATTAAGTTGATTTTGTGGTTATAACTTGGCTTATTCGTTTCAAATTGAATACTTAATGGAGTTGTTGACCTTACTTTACCAGTGTATAAAAACTCTCTTTTTTTAGACGAACTGGGAATTTCATCATTTCCAGCAGCCGATTTAAGTCTATTAGTTGCCATAGATGAAGCCGGACGGTTAGGTTGAATATGTCGACGATCTGACCAATCAATTATTGGTTTAGGAATGGTAAGTTTTGATTTATCTGACGGAGGAGCAGTAATCAATGAACCAACCAAACTCATACTTTTTTTGTCTAGTTTAACCTTTCTTTTATTACTAGAGTGGAAGCTTCCTGGAGTTGGCGGTTTTTCACTTGTTAATTTAATCGGAAGTAATGTAGGTTCTGTTGGTTTGGATTGAAGACCAGTCTTTTGTTTACGAATTTCAAACTTTGCCAAAGCTGATTGCTGCCTATTTGTACCTTTAGATGATGGAACTGATATGCTGCTAACTCGATATTTTGGTTTTCGTGTTCGAGACGATGGTATCTCATTTATATGACCAGTTCGTTTTAAAAGAAGACCAACTGCACTATTAACTTGATGACTTGGCAATATAATTGGATTAGATACATCATCTGATCCTCCTTCAACACCAGGTAACTTCAATTTCCGATAACGTCTTTTAGGCTGCAATTTCATTGCTATTGTGAGTGAAACGGGATTTGAATTCTCAATAAAAGATGATGGTGAAGAGAATGAAGGTGAATTATTGATGGAACCAAATACTCTATCAGGATGATATTTAGTGGCTAAAATTTGGACTCTATTTTCATGTTTATTACTTTTTTTGGCAATTGATGTGACCTAAAGGAAAATAAAAAATAAAAGACAGACAAAAGTCAGACAACAATCAGTCAAAAATGAAAATTGGATCCATTTCACGTGAAAATTTATAATCTAATTCTATCAGCATCATCATCATTCTATCATTCACATCAGAAACAATCTAGTTGTTAGATTATCTCAAATGATAACTTGATAATGAAGCGTTTATTAGTTTCAAGTTAATAATCACGCAAATGGAAGCAAAATACATGTATTAATAGCTACTAATCCAAGCAGTAAATATTAGATACAAAGCATGCATTGTAATGGATATCAAATCAATCTTACCGATTTGAATAATGGCTCCTGTCTGTCACCATATTGTAACGCATTACCTAACAAATGAAAGAAGGAAAAAATAAAATTATCATTATAATGAAGTAAAAAAATGTTGCTTAATTATCGGTGTAATTGTGTATTATTTTGCATTGTATTTATTATTATATCAATGATATGGCCGATTTGTTGATGACACGGTAACAAGCTGAAAAAGGTGAGAATCAAGTCATGAATGAAGGTCAGAATGGTCTGAAACTAACAGATCATTTGAATATAAATTTTGGCAAATATAAACGGTAATATCAGACTAATAATAATAAACAGAACGATGTCTTAACGAGCCAGTTGCCTGACCACAGCAATGAACGGGCAGAAAAAATAAAGAGCAGCAAACAAGTTGCCTGAAAAGGTTTGATCGTTAATCATCTTAATGAATAACATTGGCACACTAATGATTGACTTTAATTTAAGTACTAATGAGAGGCCGTTGGTAACAAAATATCATTTTAACCTTTAAGAATAAGAAAGAGAGGAAAGAAAGGGCAAAAGTAAACGGTAATAATAACTTCAAGCCTGAAGAGCAAAAGGTAAAAAAGTAACAAGTTGATAGAAGAAGGAAGGTAATGAAATAAAAAGCGCATCAGGAAAATCAAATAATCATACTCCAAGCTTAACTTGAATACACTTTACGTGACATCGATCGGTTGAAACTCATCGGCTTAAACGATTTTAACTTATTAAGGTGATCAAGACGAGTTAATATTGATGGTAAAGGTGAAGATGTGTGTGAAGCAAAAGAAAAATAACACCAAAAAAGAAGTCAAAAGATGAAAAATATCATAATAAAAGCAAGTTAAAGGTAAAAAGGAAGAGACTATTTTCATTTCTATTCCCGTTTACCTGATCAACTGGAAAAGTTGATTATTCTAAATTGATTACTCTTTCTCCTGATTTAGCTATTTGATTGAAAAGGTTAAGAAAAAAAAACGATCATAAAGTATGGTGAAAAAGAGAGGGAAGTTTTACCAACCTTGAGACATGATAACCTCGAAAGGTTGCTTCTTATTCCTATCGTTGACATAATCAAGGTTGTTTTAAAGGCCTAGTTGAATGGTGATAATTTGAAACAATGAACTGATTAACTGTTTATGTAATAATAGTTGATATACTTTTTTTATTAACTGTTGACATTTTTTCGTTTAACCAGAAAAATATTTGCTTACTTTTTTCTCGATCTTTAGACACTTATTTGTCTAAACTTACAGCTTTTTTGTTTCTACTGTTATTTATCGAGTAAAAAGCCGTTAATAACACTTTTATTTAAATATTTTTTCTAGATTTCAAGACTAATCTTTAAGTCAATTTGATTAGACTCTTTACAATAATTTGTGGTTTATAATAGTACTTTAATTGTTTAATAATTACATTTAATAACCAATTGAACTTTTTTCATCTTCAATTTTTGTTAGAGACGTTTTAAAATGAAGGAAATGACGATATTATTAGATGAAATTACGTGAGTTGCTTTTTTCACTTTTTTATTTCTCAACCCATGAATACTTTTACTGATTTGATTTAAATTTATGTAATTATATAACTTTTATTTTCAGTTATTCAACAACAAGAGGCTACCGGAAATGTCAGCTGTTCTGTATAAATACTGCAGAATGAACCAAATTGAATTAAAGAAGGAGGGAAATCCAAGATGACTGTGATGTTTAAGCTGATACAAAAAGATGAGGATTATACAGTATGAAAGAAACAACCAGCCGAGAGGTAAGAAGATCAAGATTGAAATGGAAAACATTTTGATACACTTTTGGAAAATGAATCATCTGCTGATTATTTTTAATATATAACTTGAATTCTGTTTATTCATGTAGAGTGGCAAAAATGGAAATGGTTAACGGTGATCTATGCCTTGTAAAGAGATAATCTTTCTTTTGATTTAGAAGGCCTAAGGTGCAAATGGAAGGCTTAAGGATAAAGATTTTACGGATAAAGATGGAGATGAAGATGAACCTGATTATGGTCATGATAAGTTTAATCATAAATGTAAAAGGTGATGGATGATATTGTCTTGTGACTCTTTCATTTTGAGATGCTTTTTCTTCGCAATGCAATTTTTGCTATTTTTGCAAGGTTGGTGAACTTGTGAGAGTTTAGAGAAATGTTTCTCCAATTTTTTCCCTCATTTCACTAACCAATTGTAATTATAACCATTTAGTTTAAAGAAGAACAAGGATAAAGCCAGTGTTAATGGACAAAAAGGATATAATTTTTAATTACATGTCACGTTAAGGTGAAACTTGTGATTCTAAAAACAAATTTGTTGACCTGAAGAGCCAAGATTTTCCATTGATTCACTTTCTTTTCCTGACCTCAATCATGCAGATTCACGTGGGGAACAATGAACTGTGGTTAATTATTACATTATAATATTAATATCAACATAAATGTTCAATTAGCAAAGTACAATGTAAATGGTTGTTGTACTAATTGTAAATTTTGTCAACACTTGAAGCAAGTGAAACAGTCAAGATTGACAAGATAAACAATTGAATTAATTGTCATGCATACAAGCCAAACGATTCAAGTTTTGGGTTGTAATAAAAAAATTAATTTATTACAATGGAATCAGTAAAATCTTTCAGTTCACAAATTGTCCAAGAAACTCTCACTGTAAACTGTCCATTTTGAGTAATGATTTAAACTGAAAATTGCCGTTTAATTGAGCTTGTGTGCAAGTTAAATTCATGTCATTTTCATCATGCAATCTTCAGTAATGAAGATGTAATATCTTTACTGTGAGAATAGTTATAATTGTTGTCTAGCTGAACTTGAAAACCTTAAATAACAGTGAGATTGTCAAGTTTAACGTTCAAATTGTTGACTGATGATGTTGATCTTGTTTATTAATTAAAACTGGTAATCAGTGGACATCATTTAATTTGCATAATTGTCGTTGCACTTAATTTCAAGGGTTAACTTAACTATAACAGCGTAATAAGAAAGAGTTAAATTGAAAAACAAAATCAATTCAGACTTTCATTAATTTTTCCATCTTCTCATGTTCAAGTCCATTAACATCAAGCTGATAATATTAAACAAAAATTGTCAAAACATCAACAACATAAACGATTAACAATTTAACAGTTGGCCATCATATTAAATGATCAATAATCAACTGACCACAATAAACAACAAAGATAGTCAACAGCGTAATCATCACTTTCATCATTTCTGTTGGCAATTTGAGACTCAATGGATACTAATTATGTTGTATTACACAGTAAGTAAATCAGTATTTGGTTACAATTGTTTTCCCTTTTTGAATGCAACAAAAACTCAACTAATAACCTTAAATGATTGGATATTTTTGGTCTAACAATTTGTTGATAACAACAATCCAAAATTGTAAAAGTGATGTTAATGGAAGAAAGCAAAATTGACTTTTCCATCAGCAACATTCATTGAAAATGGTTGAATAGTGTATTGGAAATGAAAATTGAAAATAAAAGTGTAAGTTGATTGAAATAACAGCAATTGGAGTTTAGTTGTTTGTTTGTCTCATCCATTATCAAAATTATTGTCCTTATTAAAACAGTGAAAAGACACTTAAATTGTTCAATTGTTTCACAAACATTGGTAGCTGTTGTTGATTAATGTTAATCATGGTTACTATTTATAACAAAATGTATCCTCAGTCTCATGCCAATTGCTTGATAAGATTGAGATTTACAAGATAATGGAAGCCTTAATGTTTGTCAAAAAGGTTGACAGTGATTATAACAAGAGAATCAAGTAAATCTTGATTTACCTTTTAATCTTGTTGAACGTTCATCAGCTAATTATTTCCTGCATGTAGATCGTAATCAATTGATCATTGATTCATTGTTTTCCGTTTCATTAGCAATAGACAACATTTGTTTATCATGTTTCCAATTGAAAAATTGTTCAAAAGATTATTCTAATTGTAATTATAAATAAAAGATTAACGATAATAGTGAAATCATGCTGAGCGAAATAATTAACCTCAAAATCAATTGGCTTAAAAATGGTGAATATTTCATTCGTGATTAGCTTAATAATGATATCGGAGTATCAATGGCCATCGGTAAAGCTTGATTAAGATCATTTGAATCGGCTTGAATCATAATCAAGGTTCACTTAGTTGTGATAATTGGATTAAAGCAAATGACCAATAACAATGATTTAGATGCTATTATCTGGACTTGGAGTGGTTTCATTTCAATGTTTCAGTTTAAAATGATAACCAAGTGTTGGTCAGGATTAATGGACATCACGACAGCATTTAGATGAGCTTTACAACAATTAACCAGATAAAATTGATTTGAATTGTCGATTGAAGTTTGGTTCAATCATTTTGATACTTTGAGATTGTGTGAGCTTAATAATTTGATAGTCACTAGTGAAGTAACAATTAGAAATGATGATTTTGTAGCAATTTGATGACAAATAATTGAGTGTAAAAAATTGATTGATCAATTTTTATCCTCGAGGTAATGAAAGATGAAAGTCATTTGTAATACATTTGAATCAGTTAGCACCAGTCAAACATCTCCATCATCATTGCTCACCTTCATCTTAATCATGAAATAATTTCACTATTCCTAATCACTCTCTCCATCATTTACTCATTGAAATCCTTCAATATCAATGTGACACGGTTGTTGACCAACCCATAAAAAGATGAATAAAAATGAACAAATTTAGTTTGTTTTTAACATTAGGTCAAAAGGCAACATCCAAAAAGGTAATCTCAATGTTTGGTTGAAACATTTACTACCAAGTTTAACCATTAACTGACCTGATTTGATTGAATTTGATGGACAACATTTAAAACAGTTTAACTGATACTTCATTAGCTTTAAAAGCTCATAAGCTGAAAAGAGATTGCAATCCAATCTTTTTCATCAACGCTCACTTTCTCATCTTTTTTTATCTTCTTTTTGCTTGTAATAATTTCTTATTTAGAAAGAAAACAACTTACCTGAAGATAATCCATCAAAAAAAGAGTCAAGAAGAAAGGTAAAATAATAACACTTTCGGAGAGACACTTAGATATAAAAAGCAAATTATCACTAAAATCATAGTCGTTTGCATGTAAATTATCATACCAATTATTACTGGATTATCATTCATTTGGATGTAAATCTATCCATCTTTCCTCTTCAGGATCTTCGTAACCAATCAAACCAAATCAATTATGATTTGAGGCAGTATTTGATTGATTACAATTTAAGTTAGGAGGCAAACTCATTGTGATCAATAAGACAAGATGTAGCAAACTCTTTGCTATATCAACATGTCGAAAGAGATGTCTGTATTTTTCCAAATTATGAATATTGATGAAGATTAAGATGGAGGAGAGAAACACACTGAAGAAGATGATGATGATGATCAAGATGACATTGATAATCCATTAGATGTGAGAAAAGGTTGAAATAATTGAAGCCTTTTTCTGATCGGTAGGAGTGATCATTTAGCAAGTTAACATTGTTGACCTGCATTACAGAAGATCCCAAGGAAAAGTGAAAGATATATTAAATTAACTGTTTACTTGTGATTAACATTATTCACTTGACACTGAAACTGCGATACCTAAACTAAGTCAACTGTTTTAAATTGAAACTGGAATGATTGAACGGTTAAATTAACTAGTTTAATTTAAATAAATCACAATTAAAAAAGGCTTAAGATAGGAATAAATCTTGGAAGATTTTGCTTGAAAACAGTTGACAAATTAAAGCTGAGAAAAGGCTTGGGATAAGTGTTAGAAATAAGAAAACATGACTAATTATGGGAGGGGAAAATGTGTGAAAAAAGGAAAGCGTTCATGTTTTGTTTTCTTCTTCTGATAAATGCATGTTTAAAGGATAATTTGTTTGCTAATTTGTTGAATTAGTTTTTCAGTTAAAATTATATATGATCAGTGAATCTCAAATTACTTGAAACAATCGACAATTGAACCGTTTTAAATCACATTTTCTTTATGATCCAGTTTAAAGTTTGCTTCGATGATTTTTCAAGACAATGTAATGACAGTAAAAATTATCCGCCAATGAGCAAGCTTATTCAACGGTTTCAACAAAAAGTAAGTTAAATCTTTTCCATAAACGGGTTTCCCATCTTTTGTTTGAAAACATTACTTTTTTTAACGATTTTTACTCTTGTTAAATAACTTTTCTACAGATTTACATCATCTTTAAAAATTTGGGATTCAATTTTGAGCGATAAAATTGACTGCATGGATCAAGGTTGAGGTTATCAAAGGTATGAAGTTCACGTCTCGACTAAGCTGGCTCCTCTATTTTCAAGGTAAGACTTTATTATTAGCCATTCATTAGTTTGGTTGTAATTAATTTTCCCTTCAATCAGGTAATCAATTCGATGACATGTTGCTGATGAGGATGGTTATGATAATGATGTTGTGTACATGTTTATGTTGGAATAATTCAATTGAATTTGCATTTACAAAATCAATTCAAGAAAACATAAGCAACAAGGCTATCCAATTTAAAGACAATGATAATTACCAGCAGCTTATATTACACTCACAGACCATTAATCTTTCATTTAGACAGGTATACCATTAAATTCATTCCTTCTATATGGAAACCGCAATGTTGATAATAAACATGATCCTGTTGTTAATGGTTTAACTGGCAAATTGAGGATCAACTGGAAACAAGAAGCTTTGTGTAAGGAGTCAAGTCTGTTTGTTATACACTTTTAAAGTCAAGATTCATTGGCATTGGTTTTTTTTGCTTGTCCTACCTGCTAACTATGTTTAATTCATCACGATCAGCTGAAAAGAAACTAAATGTTAAATATTCATCTCATATTCATAACCAAATGGTTCAAATTGAATTGTTGTTTGGTGTGACATCGTTAATATTGCTGTTGTAATTGAACCTTCGTGATAACTTACTGTTGAAAGGGTATTTCTGAATATCTGAAGCTCTCAGTTTCTCTTTTAAGACTAACAATTGGGGCCAATTTATTTCAATTGATTTTGATGATTGTTGCAGGATTTGCTATAACGGATCAATTTGGATTCATTGCAAAACGATTATAATATTATAACCATCTCATACTTTCTTTTTTTTCCTAATGCTAATCATGAGAGTCATGAAAATTCAGTGTGTAAACCTTAATTGTTATCAGCTATTAAGGTTAACGATGAGCAACGGACTAATCTTTTGGTTGAACATTTTTTTTAAGATGGTTATAACTAAAAATCAATCAAGAAAGTCAATCTAACCATTTAAGAATCTTAAGTCATGATGTAAAGTATGATATTTGATTGCCTTATTTTGGTTTCAAAATTGCTCCTCAATGATGATTATATTGGTAATGGTAAAGTTTCACTCTCATTATAAAAATTGTTACAAATTGCGATGGACTAAAATAACCATGTCGAAAGTGAAATCGTGTTATTTCATGATATTTATGTCTGAGGCCTGAAATAATGAAGCAAGTAATCACAAAAATTGAAACACAATCTAACCAAGTATTACAAGTCAACAAACTTGCAAACACAACATAAATGATTAATTTTTTGTTCTGTCTCATTAATTAACAGGGTTGTAACCAGAATTATAATGGCAAAAGAAGTCCATCGATGGAAACCAAAAGAAGTATCATGAACATTGAAGTGCAAACACAAATCAATGTCCATCAAAAGATAATTGCAAATGTTTGATTAACGTATGGATAAAAAAGTGACAACAAAGTTAATTTTTAGGATGACAACGCCAAAGTGGAAAAGATTGAAATGGAAATGAAAATGGAACCAAGAAAATGGATAAAATATAATTATTTGGATGTGATTTATTGAATAACCTGATATTACACTTTTGATGGATATACTTTCTCTTGGATGTCATTTAATTATTTCATACTTTTAATCAACTGTTAATCAAAGCATCAACATACAAATAGAAATGGTTTCAATGATAATATCGTTCAAATGACACAAGATGAAGATGAGAGTGAGATGTGAACCTCTCAAGACCTGAATCTGGTTTAATTATAGTGACCAAGCAGTGAAAGATACACATTATAGACATGGCTCAAGGCTATTGAACAAGACAACCTGAAGATAGAAGTGCGCCAAGAAAACGCTCAAACTCTAAGCGCCTTTAACATTTACTTTGTCCATATTATATCAATTTGGATCCACCATAATCATCGACATCATCCACTTTCCCCGCTTCTCTTCTTCACAACATTCAAATTATCCTTTTCACAATATTAATGTTGAATCTTAATGATTCAAATTAGCTGATGGAAAAAACACATTTCTCTCATCGTGATTGTCACAATGGATTTGCTGTTAATGGACTTGAAGACAAGAATAAAACAACTCAAGAGTAAATATAGTTAGTGAAATTAAGGAAACACACAACAATCATTCCATCATTGTTTTAATCAACATTTTTGTTTCTGCATTGTTAATTAGCAAACAAATTTGTCTCCAAAATGGGAAACATCACTTTTAACATCAAGAATGGAAACCAGCAAGAGCAACCTTATGTTGGATGAGAAAGGATTGCATTAATTGTTTACAGTTACAAATGTAAAACAATTTGATTTCAGTCTAACCATTATAATTGTCATCTTAATTGTCATCTTAATTGAGTCTTTTATGGATGCTTGTTGACTGAAACAATTGAACGCTCATCTTTTCTTATCTTTAATTTTGAGAGAAGCTGATTTAAAAATCAGATTTAGCATAACAAAAGCATTTCAATCAAGTGAACTATTTTATATTTATCATAATTAGCTGATCAAACTCATCTAAACAATGGAATTATATCATTTCATGAATTAATCTTCAACTGATCTTGATATTAAGCTCATTGTTTAGAGTTCAAGTTTTAACAGCTTGATTAATATCGACTAATTTTAGTTTCACTTTTTTGTAAAATTTACTATTTATGCATATTTACAATTGGAATCAACTAGCCTTGTGATAATAATTGATTGAGTTAAATTCAATATCCAATAGTTATAATATTAATAGTCAAAAATCAGGGTTAACATAAGAAGAGTGAACTTGATTCAGGAAACTTGAAAAAAAAGTTCAAACAAGTTCAAGTAAACAACATTCATTAATTTAATTAAAGCAAATGATAAGAAAAGAGAAAAAACAAAATTGATTAAAATAGTGATAGCATAATAATAATAACAAAAAGAGACTTAATTTAGATGAACATTAAATTGATTCAAGGTTGATAAATTTAATTGTAAAAAAATTTTGTGAAATTTAATTTGTATACTCAGTGGGAGAGCTTAATCAAATTGAATTTAAAGAAACAAACTGATTCAACATTTGTTTAATTTCCTATTTATACCAATTGAAAGAGACCAATCAATCTAGTTTAATAATAATTTTAATTAATTCTAATCTCGCTTTTTTTCTCTATTTCTCACCAGGTTAAAGCTAACAATCAATATGAAAGAAATCAAAAATAGGATTGAAATGGAAATCAAATTGAAAGCGAATCAGATTACCGGATACACTGAATAATGGATTTGATTGTTTTCTCAAGCAAAGGATATTGTCAATACAAGATGCTGATCAACTGAATGTGTCAATCAAGGTTAATTAGTTAAAAATGGTTGGGCCATGTTAACAATTAGTAAACAACTGCCATCATTTTGAGGCTCCATTTGTCATGTTGATTGACAAATTGATTGGTTAAATTAGTTGGTAAATTTTTTGGTATATTCCTGTTCCCCCAATCTTAAGCTTTTGAACAAACAAACGCTAATTGAATGAAGGGTTAGCCGTTAGAAAGCGAAATTTTCTCAATGACTGTGAACAGATTTGAACAAAATCAGATTCTTTCAGTTCTTTATTATTCAGTTAGATTCCTCTTCAGGTCAGATTATGCTAGGTTATGTTAGCTTAGGCTTAGGATAAGTCAAGTTATGTTTTATGATGTTAGCTAAGGTTCCGCTTCTACACAATGCAGTAAAAAATTAGACTCAATTTTAAGGATTTTTTTGCAATTTTTGTACAGTTCTATTCTTTGAATTCGAGCAAATTTTGTTCAGCAAAGTCGTAAAAGATTAAAAGATTGGTGAAACAGGACAGAACCAAATTATTTACTCTCTCTCTCCTCAATGTTATATAATCAACTTACCGTGAAAAACAACTAAATAGATTGTTGTCAGGCTTAGAGTGTGAATTATCATGATGTCTGTTTGTATTTGTGTAACAGGTAGATATCCAATTAAGAAGTGTAATAGTAGAAGTTAGTAGAATACAATTTAATTTAATTAACTTCAAATGTCCATTGATTATATTCCGTTGAGGTTAATTGAGTTGACTGTAAAAACAGTTAAATCACTTGCACATTAGAGAAGAAGAAGAAGAGAGAAGAAAAAAAGTTATTCCTATTGGTTATTATGATGATGATTGTACGAAGGTTGACACTTTTCGCAAAAAGGATCCAATTGTACAAGTAAATGAGGTTTTCAAAGGCAAATTTTCATTACCAATTGTCCATCATCAATTATCACCATCAACAGAGAGCTGGTCAATAATCATCACTAACTAGATTGATTGGATAAAAGGCAGAGAGCGAAAAAAGGAAAGGTTAGAGTAAAACATTAACAAAACAATAGTAAATTTGTGGGTCTGTATGTCACACAATTAAGAAAAGCTTGTTTCTGTTTAAGGTTCACATAGATAAACATTAGACGAATTACTGGATTTCTAATGTCAACCTGAAGTGAAGTTAGAAGTTGATTTAATTTTGCAACCGAAAAGAAAGTAATGAACCAAACATAATTACCTAACTCATCCTCATCTTCGTCTCACTCTTCTCCTTCTCTCTCTCCACCATTCTCATCCTCATCATCTTCCTCCTCTTTCTTTGTACCTTTCTTAGAGTAAAATAGATATTTCTTTTTTTTGAATGACTCCTTCGATCTTCTTCAAGACGAGATTCGCAACATTAACGTTCTTTTCTTTCTTTTACCTTTCCAGATTCGCTTCTCAACTTTCGCTCCAAAAGATGATGACCCACCTTTGATAATGAAGACAAGATGAAGAGAAGATGATGAAAAGAACAAGAAAACAGTTAAAAAGGAGGGAAAAGGAGTAAACCAGAAGGAAAAGAAGATCAACATTCACATAAAACAAAAAACAAGATGATGCTCTTTAAACTACTTTCTTCTTCAAATCAGGTTTACAGTAAACATGGTAACATCATCATCTATCTTTATCTTCTTGCCATAATCTTCATCTTTATCCGTTCCATCATCATAATCCTCGTCTTCATAATCAATATACTCTGGTTGTTATTACAAGGGAATCTAGATTTACCAACATTTGTATCGACCAAGAGCAACTTTCGCTAGGATTTGGCATTCATTTTCCGTGGTTGAACTTGATTGTGCCAAGCGATTAGAAAAGGTTATTGAAATTTAAATAAACTTGCTTTTAGCTCAAAGAAATACTTTTTTTAAGAAAAAAGTGATTAAACTTTTAAGATAGTTTAGCGGTATTAAATAGTTAATTTTATTATTAGAATATTGACTCCGTTCTTTTATAGCCATTAAAAATCAAAGGTTATTCAATATTTTTAAACTAATATCTTGATAAAGCGATATAAATTAAGTTGCATTATTAATACAATGAAGTTCATTCAAATTGAGGCAGCTTTTTCTTTAATTAAAATATTCTCATTTTACAATGATTAGCCAGACAGCAGCAATTTAATTCACGATTTGAAGTGCATTGTCTCTGAATAAATGTTCATTTATGAAGGATAAGTAAATCAGAGATTATCACACAACTAGAGCCTTCCAGTAAAATAAAAGCAAGTTTAATCCACATTGTCAATCAAGATCAAGAAGTAAATTAATGTCTAAATCTAGGACAATCAATTTTTTAATGCAAATAAAATTTAATTCCCAGTTAATTGAGGATGATGCATTACGAGGGCAATATTACATTATTTGTTTCAAATCAAGACAAGAGTTTGAAATTCAGAGAATCTCTTTATTGGAACTTTTGAAACGATTTCACTATAAGTTCTGTTTAATATTACTTCAGTATTAGATTGAATACAAGATTGTATAAAAGACGATATTTCTGAAAATAACTCGAATGAACAGGGCACTCGAATGAATGTACAAAGTATCAGCAAAATTTTTGTTGGCAAAAATATAAATAATAATCCATTGTCTTTTACCTTAGGTCAATAAAAGGTAAATAAATACTTGATATAAAGAGTAAAGCCAAACAGATACACTCAAGTGGACAATTAGATGACATGTCCAACCTTTTACAAGAGAAGGAAATTTTACCGTATTAATATGTATAAACACTCAATTAAATTGTGAAATATTATTTTCTTGGAGTCTTCCTGGCTTTGTGATATTGAATGTTTCTTTATTTTCCAATTTCATCATTAGTTTTGATGAAGCTTGACTATAAAGGCTTCCAGATATCATTTCATTTCCTTGACATTCTTGTGGAGATTTAAGTAATGAGTAGCAAAATGATTCAACTTGAAATTCATCCTGGCTTTCGTTGAAACATATGTGGAGACAAAGAGCAAATGACTCGACCAGCTATTTTCATTTGACTCTATCTAACTTTGCTTTGTTTCTTTAAGGTTTTTAAACACTCTTTATAAGAGAATCAGGATTTCATATTCACATTGGATGAACCAGACTTACCTTTATTATTTTAAACAATAAAAGATGAAAATTAAATACAATCACTGGATGCACAGAATATTCAAATGTTAGTTGAAACACAAATAAAATTTGTCGATTTTATCAAATCAAAACTGAAATACCATAAAAAATGTCTTATTGTTTCACCTCTCACATGGAAATACCGATCACAGGAGGATTACTGAGAACCCTGAACATTTCCATCCAAATGTTATTACAGATTAAACGAAAGCTAGTTTAATTTAATTAAAATATCGGAAAATGAGAAATGCAAATCACTGAAAATTTTGAAGTCAAAAGAGCAAAGCGTTTTATAGTAATGCCATCTGTTATGCTTAAAGAAAAGTAGTAAAAATAATTTTTATTTTGTAACAAATGAAATTGGACGTAAAAATTATCATTTATTTGATTACTTTTTGTTTATAACATTATTTACAATCTAATTGTACAAATATGTTTTTATCAAAAACAGTTTCTTTGAAATTCATTAATCATGATTTAGTTTAGCTTTCTCACTCAGTCAATTGATTTATTTTTCATAATAATCATCAAATTGTAATTCAATTATTATTCATCCTTCTTATTTTCCAGCGTTTGTATGAGTTGAATTTAAATTGGCAAGGTTAGCATTTACTTTCTTTTTTTTTAGTTTAAGACGATCATACAAATTAATTTAGTTACTATAATTGTAATAATAACGATAATAAACGTTAAAGCACTAAATGAGAAAAACAATTAATCTGTTGAGACAAATTAACGCATTATTTTATAGCTATACATAACAGGGTAACAATAATGTTGAATAACAAGGCAAAATGAACTTATCCAAACCAAAGAGTCATTTAACGAGGAGTTGAGGTCACTTTAAGTCTAAGTAACTGATTCAAAAACAATTAATGAATAGCAAAAAAATGACCCAACCTAAAGTAATTTGATTTGTATAAAACAGATGAGCAATTTAGTTACTTTGGGCTTGTGTCAGATGGTAAATGTTACACTAATTGTCACTAGTAATGGATTGAGATCAAAGTCATTGAATCAAAGTTAAGGACAATCAAATTTTGGCAAACTTGACCGGCCTAACAGCTCGTTTGGTTTGGCTAATGGACAATTGAAAACATTTGTAATTGAAAAAGAAAACAAAATTGTAAATTTAAATAATTTAAAAGAAAACCCTAACTCTGATCTCCTGAGAAATTTAGTCAATTATTAACAATAATTATTAGTACATTAGTGGTTAGTATATCACACAACCATTAAATAGGTTAGCTTAAGATGAGCAAAAAATCTGATGTTCATATTTACAATTAAGTTACAACAATAATGATTGTCAGTACGTTAGACAATTATTATTGATCTTTTTCGTTCCGAGTTTTCCGTTTCTGGAATGGAAATTTTTGGCAATGTTGAAGTTGTTATAAAAGGGTTTGATGATGATTTGCAAGTGTAAAGTTGAATGTTAATTATAACGATATAGTTAACATTATAAAACCGTTTCAAACTCGGTTATAGCAGCTGTTGATTTATCCAATGGAAAGGTTTGCTTGTTTGAAGTAAATCCTGGTTTAATCCTTCTCTCTCTTAATCCAGTGGAGGTTGAATAAGTTGTACAAATGGATGTTGAATCTCGACCATAGAAAGGGTCATTTGTTGTAATATGATTATGGGTCATATCTTTATGTAGATAATGAGGTTGATTCAATCGAGGATAAGGAACTGTAGATGATGATGAGGACCAATTAGATGTTTGAAATCGCATCATTTCATCTTCATTTAAGTGAGCAAAACTTTTGGATCGTTTAATATTATCAAGTAGATGTTCAGCTTTATATCTATTTAATCCGCCAACCATATTTCGACAATCATTTTTATTCAAACCATCATTGTAGGCCATTGAAGTCCAAAAATTGTTACCTCGAGATAACCGCGAATTATCATCATTACTCAATGATTTTGCAATACTCTGTAACAGTGTATAAGGATGGACAATAAAAATAAGGAAAAGGAAAAGACAAGAAAAAAACAGAAGAGAAAAAAAACGATATTTTGGTGCGACAAAACAAACATATAAAGGAATATCGCTATTATTATATTAGAATTGTGATTATTAACTGACCATGCTGACAAGATTGAGGCAACCATCAGTTCCATTGTTAATAATGGGTTTCCGGAAATAGTGGAAATAAATATGTTCAATCGCAAGTATAATGATAGTGAGTAAGATACCACATCCAAGTAATAGAAAGGCAGACATGAACTTATTAACGTCCAGTGGTTTACTCAGTTTACCCTTATTGCGAGTCGGTTTACAAGCTCCTTGGAACCAGAATCGACGAAGTCGCTCCAAATCACCTGTGAAATGAACAAAAAGAATGATAAAAGAGAAAATGAATTAGAATAGAGAAAAAGATTGAAGATATTTTAGCTTCAAAGGATGGAGAGGTTGAAGTTTAATCAATTTCTATTGATAGGATAGACTTTGGGTTTGATTGGCAAATTATTTTGGATCACAATGATTATTACATAGTTAGATGATTTTGTAGATTTTGATGGATTTGAGTGGTTTACTGTCATCAAATGAGCAATGAAATTTGCCTCTCTTTTTTTCGTTCAATCAAAAAATGCTAGACAATGTTGTATTGATTTACTGATATTTTTTCTTTGTTGCTGGTGAACAAAATCAATTGAAATTTGTTAAAGGGTATTAATGACTGGATCATCATGGGATTTAAATTGGTTTTTATAGCCCTGTTTAAATGATCATTTGATTGATATAATAATCATATTACTAGATTGACACTTGTTTTAACCCAAAAATTGATTGATTACCCATAATTAAGGTTAGATTAATGTGACACTTTGTAGGATTGAAAAAAAAGTAAATTGTCCAACAACATCTACCTAAACTCAATCAGGGCAGAGAGGAAGAAAGAGTAGGCAAAATCAGTTAGCAAAAGAGATTGATTTAATAGCTAAACAATGATCAAGAACGTTAATGACAGTTCCATCAACTATTTATCTACCATAAGTAACATAATAATAAAATCAATATTGATAATAAACAGTAGTAATTGACACTATTCAATTAAATTATGGTTGATTGGTTAACGTTAAATGTTATCAAGCACAAGCAAAGGGTAAAGGCAGCAACGAAAAAGGCAGGACAGAGAAAAAAGCAAAACTGAAAGCAAACCATAATTGAATTATTTGTGACGATTACAATTATTTAATTGAACGTACCATTTTCACGATATTCAATCATCTTCTCGTTAAATTTATTTAAATACTTTGATTTTTTGGGAAAGGCAAACCCATATCCAGTCATTGCATACCAAGATCCAACAGTTAACAGTCTACAGTCATTGTCTTGTCCAGTGTAATAATCAAGGACCACAGCATCGTAAATGAATGCATCAAGATCACTGGAAATAAATTAAAAGAAAGAATTAGATTAGAATTAGTTTAATTTTCTTCAAGATCTCCAATGGAACAAGCCTTTGTTTACTGGAATTTAGATGACAATAGTAATCCTTTAGGAACTCATTATTGATGATGAATTAGGAATGTTCATCGTTCTTTCACCATTATCATAGATAAATAAAGAATCAAAGTAAAGGTTTATATACACACACATATGTACTCTCAATAGTTGATTGTGAGTGAATAACAATAGACATTGATTTGAATAAAGTGAAGAAGGGGGTTTGGAAAGAAATGGTGAAGTAAAAAGTTATTCTCGAAGGATGAAGTTGAAGTTGAAGATGAAGATGGAAAAATACTTGAAGGAAAAAAAAGTATATTAAATGTAAATGCAAGGAATAATGTGAGATAATCAAACTGAGCCATAAGGATATATAGTTGAAATAAAATTAATGTAAAGATTGAAAAAAAAGTAAAAATAAAAATCGTACTTTACATCATCATTGGATAAAGAGTGAATTCTGTTCATGTCAGAATGAATAATATTGAAACTTGCCTAGTGAACCAAGAAGATATTAAAAGGAGAATGAAAGAGAGAAAGAAATGGAGATAAAATTTTTCCAATCAAAACACAAATGAATCATAAAAAATTGAAAACTGAGATACCAGCAACAGTAGGCTTCACTATGAAAATGGCATTGAATAAAGATATGATTATATTATTGATTTTTTCTCAATTCATTCATGAGAATGGTATTTCTAGGTAGATGGTTGGAATAATTGTTTAGGATGAAGATTAAAATGTAATTCTTACCCTTTTCTTACAGCTTTCACTCCTAGTTCACTTGACGAACGGTTGTACTTTCTCATGTAAGCGTGCATTTGAGGTTTATTTCGCTTTAGGACGGCCTCAGTGTTACCAGAAGGTAAGGTACCGAATTTAAGAGCAGGCTTGACTTTGGTTGGATTGGCTAAACGTGGATCCTCAATACCAGAGAAATCATGATAATCTTCTCGGGTTATCATAAAGGCAGCCAGGTTAGCAGTGTAAATGGCCAGGAAGACGACAGCAAAAGTAGCCCAAACATTGGACATGAAACGAGCTGTTAAACCCTTTGGACAGTTAACGGGAACAGCAGCACCAAACAAGATAGCCCAGACAAGCCAATAAGTGCGAAACAGAGAAAATTTGTGACCTAAATAAACAAGATGAAAGAGGTAAAAAAGATAGACAAACAAAGATAAGTCCTGGGTAAATCCACATGATTAGACATTTTCAATAAGCTAAGCTAAATAATCCGATCATCTCCTTTGTCTTACACCATCTTAACGTTAAAGGATTACACCAAATCTTTAAACATACGCAACAAAAGACAATTTCAAAGTTCAACTAATTAAATTTCAACATGAATAACTATTAGTCACTAGACTCAGGTGAAAAGGTAAGCACTGAAGATTAATTAGACTTTAAAAAATGTACAAATAATTAGAAAGCATTTCACCAAAAACAATACAAAATTACTTTTCCCTCTAATTGTTAGAGCAACAAGAAACAAAAGAGCGCCTAAGCAATGCCATCTATTGGGTCAATTATTTCACAATTTCAAGCGTTATTATTTAATCAATTCAAATGAACATTCAGACATTATTGATTGAATCAACTGGAACAAAAGACATGAAAAGTGATTGTCACAATTGCAATAAATTGTGAGGGTAAATGATAAAATAGTTGGATGAAAAGATGAGGCAAAAGGTGTGAGATGAATAAAAGTGTAGGAAAGATGTAAACAGTGACAAAATAATCGTTTCAAGTTGATCAACAAGGATTGAAGGTAAACACCAATTGTAATTCATTTTAATCGTACAAAAAGTGTCCCGAAAATTATATTATTCAGTGTAACTATGGAAACAAGTGAATCACAATTTATTAGATTAACTTGATATTATTTTTGGACAAGAAAATGTTTCCTCTCAACTCAATTCTAGATCTTGCCTGTCAAACTGTGAAAGATGAAGGAAGGAAGGAAGATGAAACTGAATTGAATGTTGAAGAATTGAAAAGAGCTTGAATTAATCATCTAATTAAGATGATAATACATACATATATACATGTATTGTATTAATGTATACTTGGGATGGTATCATCGAAGGGAAGACAAAAATTGTAACAACTGTGAAGCTAAATCAAGAATGTCATTCCATTAACTTCAATTTATCCAATTGTAATTATAATGCTACTGTAAACTTGAATCCTTCATTATTATTCAAGTGAACATGATATTGTATTGGATAAGATGGTGAAAAATGCAGGCCGAGAAACAAGTAAAAGGCAAAGAAAATGATTGTCATTAAATGCAATGATTAGGATAATTAAATGGTAACAATTTATAATTAACTTACCTTTTGGAGGTTTCATTCCCATATTATAACCAGATGGACTTAACCATTCAAAAAGGAAGATTGAAAAGACTGCAATTTGAATGCTAATCAATAATATCATGATCCATGAGTGAGTATCAAATGGTTCTGTTGAAAAAAAAGGTTAAAATCAAGATGAGGATTAATGGTGATTATGATAATTTGATTTATTATCGGGCTGAGAATGAAAATTGTTGATGTACAAAAGGCCTAGACAGCTTGATGTATTTGCATGATCCATTAATGACATTTAATGGGACAAGAGTTACTCTCTTAGGTTGAAATATTCATCTCAGCCCAACCAGACTTGTTTAAGAGACATTAGATGAAGAAAAATTTTCAACGTAAAAGTGTCACATTGTATGAGACATTTGATGGGACAAGAGTGACTCTCTTAGGTGGTGAAATTGATCTCTCATGGCATAATCAGAATGGTTGAATTGTGTCGGTGGCGAAGCAAAAATTTCAATTACTTTTTCATAATCTTCAACTTAGCATTGAAAATCCTTGCTGACTATTGTTTCAAATTATTTTCAATGTTTTGTCCAATCATTAATTGAAATTGGGACAGAAAAAATGGGTTTAATTTGAACAAAAATCGGCATTTTTTCTAAACAAATCAATTTCTTGTCACAATAATGCAAAATAAGCCAAAAAGCTAAAACAGAGTCAATCTTTGAGTTGACAATTTTCATTAATGGACAGACAAAAAGAGGTTTCACTTACCTAAAAAAGCTTTCGGTGAAATGATACCCGTCCTTTTGGCAACTAAAATTGTTATTCCAGTTTCAAGGAAAGGAACAGTAAAATCAACATACGCCTGACGATCAGAGTTTATCTTGATTGAAGTTGCCACAACATCAGCTTTGTGATCAAGCAATTCAGCAATCAAACCATTCCAAGTACGATTTTGCTATCAACAGAAAAGAAAAATAAATAAAAATGAAAAACCTGATCAAAAAAAGATACGCTCTAAAAAAGTCTAATTCGTCCAACGAATTGAAGCGAAAAACGAATCAATGAATGAACGAACCACAACGCTGAAGCAGCAAAAGCCGAAAGGTTGCAACAAGAAAATCAAGTGTTGAAAGAAATGTTAGATATTTTCAGCGAAAAATGTCTCCAAACGAAAAAAATCCAGGGAAGATTTTTTAGAATCTAAAAAATCTTTTAATTGAAAAAATAAATTCATTTTCATTTCATTTTTTAATCAATTTCGTTCATAATTTTTTGTGTAAGAAAAAATTCATTAATTTTGTCCCGAATCCGGCAATTGTTTGTCCCAGACTCGAAACCACTTTTGGCTGAAAACCAAAATTTCATAGCTTCTCAGAATTGGAAAGAAAAGCGGAAAAAGTGAATAAAATTTTCAAAGTAAATGATAACTTAATAATTGGCCAATTCTTAATAAGTTGAAACATTGATGAAAAATAACTTTTATCAACCTTTTGCTAACAGACACTTAAGCAACTCAGTGTTAACCATTGCTTGGATGAATGAATAATATTATATTTACAATATCAAGATATTATTTCCTTCCTTAAATAAACACTTTAAGTGAATTAAATTACCTCGCTTCTGGGAGTGCAAAAGATATTATTATCAATTTTAATATGAGAAGTAAAGTTGACGAAGAAAAAAAAAGATGTAAAAAAAGTAAAATAAGTGATATTATCATTAATATTATCATCAAAATTGTACAGCCTTGAAAAGTAGTAATAACAATTCGAGAAGAAGAAGATTTCTTGAAACGTTAATGGTTCCAAAGACACCAAAAGGTATTAAAAAGTGTACAAAAAGAGTCTCGAAATTTTGTTCCAACATTTTCCAGCATTCTCCAAGATATTCAATTCATCTTTGATGTTGCATGTTGAACAAATTTGTGACATTTTCCTCAACCAAAAATGTTGCAAACTGAAATGTAGAAAATTCAAGATTTGAGATTCCATTTCCATCTTTTCTGTATCAATCTAATTTAATTTAGTCTAATTTTTTGCTCCATTTTTCGCCCCTTTTCCCATTCTTTTTTCATCATAAATTTTTAATTCTTTTTGTTATCCTTTTTGTCACAGAAAGAGAGAGAATAAATTCTCAGAGCGAATCCAACAGGGAGACTGAAAATGATGAAGAATAATAATGATAATAGTCTTTTCTTTTCTTGGGCTTGCCTTGGCTTCTCCAGTAGATTAATTATTTATAATCAAAAATGATGACATTAGTATCAAAAAGTGTGTTTATCATGATGAAATTTATTGTATCAATTTGAGCTGAAAATAGCGCAACTATAATTTGCTCAACAAGCAAACATCTTATTGTTAAAGATTAAGTGAAAAGTGCATCAACTTGGAAAATTAAATTTATCGTTTTACACAAAGCTAATGGTTGCAGCACGTTTCCAATGATGGTGAGATTGTTGTTGATCGAAACTACGTGAAAATTCATCTTCGACAGTTTTCCAAAGCTCTAGTGAAAAGGTAATTTTGCTTTTCACTATTTTTGGTCAAATGTTCATTGTCAATACTCGAGTTTTTTGCATTGGAAAAGTCGACTTTTGTCGAGTTTGTTCATTCATTTCTTTTGGTTCTTCATGGCAACTTTTCTAAACTTGAATAAGCCAACCTTAATAATGCAAAAAGTTGAGAAAATTGTTACTGTAAATAGAAATGTAATTAAGCTTATCAAGAATTGCTACTTTACCCTCGTAATCCTCTTCAAAAATCAAGTACTTGTAATCAATTTACGAGGTCAACAGTTTTTTTTGCTTTTGCTACCAGAAAAGAAACTCGACACTTTTTACCTTTTTGTACATATTTTTGTATTATTTTCATTATGCAAGTTCAAGGGCATTTCGCTAGGAAGACTGAAGTTTTACTAAATGCCTAAACTCGACTGAAGTTTCATCACATTTCAGAGTTGATCAAAGTTGGGAGTAAAACTGAGTGGGTTGACTTGTAAAGTTTGCCAACGAACTTTGCGCTAATTTTTTACACAAAATAGCTTTCAATGAAAATCAATAGATTACATTCGTTCTAGATTCCAGGTGAGAGGTAACCAAGATTATCTTTAGACAAGTCTTTGCATTAATCTTTAGGTTATTTTTAGGCGAAACTTCAATTGAAATAGAAAAGTCTAAAAGCATTTCAGTCAATGCTAAAGGTGAATTTTAAAGACTCATTATGTCAAAAGACGAACCAGATTATTTCAGATCATCCTTAATCTATTTTCATGGATGTTTTTTGCGAACTAATCTGAAGATTGGTGCAAAGTCTGATTGAAATGATAAATCTCACACTAAGATCGACTGTATTATCGAACGAAATCTGTTTAGATTTTCCCATAGTCGAAGCGTCACTACAAAGAACGAGCCATTTGAGAGATTTTCCAATCGCTTTTACTTAGAACTTTGACATAAAAAATTTGCTTTAAAAAAGTTTCCGAATTTGTTTTCAAGAATTTCGTTTCCTTTTCGCAGAAATCTTGAAGCTAATTTGCTAAGCAATTATCATTAGACCAACACAATTTCGAGATGGAAGATTGCTCAGTTTTAATCAATGAATGATGGCAAGCATCTTCATTTCGCTTCTTGGCACATTTCCTTGTGAAAGATTATCTAATAAGAAACATTATTCAACAGAATTGTCATTTTTTTTGTCTCCAAAATATCGACTACAAGTTTGGCAAACATTGCAATGAACATCAAATGAAAATGCATTTAAAAATAATGAAAACTCAAGCTATGTAAATGTTGAGGAGAGAAAAGGGAAAAAATGAAAAGCATTTCTTGTTGCAAGTTGATTATTATATTGAATACAAAGATTAATGGTATAAACTTGAAGTTTACTTACACTTAATACTCCCCAAGCTCCATCCTCAACTCGACTAAGTTCATATGAGAATCGAAGATCGTTGGCAAACTTTTCCAACAAATCAATACAAAAACCAGAGCAACATCGATAATAATTTGGATTCCTGTAAGCAAGAGTCTTGTTCACCCTGTATCATAAGGAAATGATGAGAAGAAGAAGAAGAAGAAAAGTCAAAAAAAAACAGAACAGATAAAGAAGTTAAATTAATACTTTAGACAGTATTTATTTATAAACATCCACACACTCATATAATATCAAATAAAATCATAAACATAATGTGACCTATTTCCAGAAGGTAAAAGAAGATGAAACAAGATGAAGATGAGAAACAAGAAGAATGATGATAAAGGAATCAAAATACAGACTTATCAAGCATCCACACACACACAGATATATCATCTAAATTGGTCTTTGACAAATGATGAGTCTCTTTTTTCATCATCAACATTCTGTCAGTTTCCTTATTTTTCACTTCAATTTTATTGACTTGAGAATGTAATCGCCAATATTAGACAATATGAAACAGCCTTAACCATGTTCAAGGAAAAGTACTGAGTAAAGAGATGGAAGAAATGTTAAAAGCCAAATATATTAATAATAATATTAATATGATGATGATGATGATGGAATCGTAATATAAAATGTTCAAGATAAACAAAGAAGAAGAAGCAAAAACATTTCATATTTCATAAAGTTTCATGGTTACAATGAAGGAAAAAGAGTGAGAAAAGAGGCAAAATTTTCAGTAACAATGTCTGCATTTGGATGGAAAAGCAAAGAAACAAAAAGTCAAGATTTACCAATTATCCTTCCCAGTTGCTGGGAGTGAAAATGCTTGGACATAAATACTCGTCTTGTTATTTTGTTGCTTTTTTGAGCCACAAAAGAGACTCTCGTTTTTTACTACATTTCATCTTTTCTTCTGCCTTTACCATGAAAATGTTTAATCTGACTGCTCATACTTAAAATATCAAATAACTTGTAACACTAACTTGATTCTTATAATGGCTTTCCTTCATATCGTTACCATGTTAACCATTTTTCAAGATTCTCTTAATTTTCTTTTGCTTTTTCTCGATTCTTTGTCTTCTTGCATCAATATATTATCAACTTATTGTTATCATGTATACAGGGTGCGGCACAGTGTAACTCAGGGAGTTTCTTAATTACTTTATACTTATAAAGTAACTTCTCAATCAATTATGCCAATGAGAATCAAATGTTTTCAGATGAGCAAATGCTCCTGCTGGGATTGAAAAGTTTCAGCTTTTACAGGGATTTCCATTGCAAGGACTAATTAAAAGTTTTAATTGAAATTCACTATCAATGTTGCTGGGAGTTAACCATTGATAGAGTCGATATTGGCAAGTCTGGATTGCTATAAGATATAAAAAAAGTGTTCACTCCAAGTGCTAGTCTGATGTATTATAAAATAATCCAGATTCTTGGGAGTTCTAGTTATCAATTTTCTGGGAGTTTTTCTGGGAGTTTATTTTTCTTGTGCAATTCTTGCTCAAAACTTATGCAATCTCATACTTTTTTAGGATCAAACTCATCTTAATGAACACAGAAAGCGGTCTCATGATTATCACATTACCAGCAGTATTAATGAAATTATAACTTGCTCATCATCTTGAGGTTTCTCAATATGCCAAGGTTGACAAATGGCAAGACTCCAAGCTCAATGAGAAGCAATTAAAGTGTTTCTGAGTTCAACTGAAAATGGAAAATTCAAACTTTCGACTTATCTTAACTGTTCCAAAAAATGTTCGATTTTTTGCCAGAAACACTTTTCTCAATTCTCTTGTAATCATGAAAATTTTCCTCAAAACTTGAACAGCAATTATTACCTTAAACGATCCTCTTGTGCAAATCAACCGGAATGCACAATGTTTTAAAATACAACAAATCGATAACTTTGATAGCATCATTTCAACCCAACATTATTGACACATTATTTGGTATTGATAGTTGAATGGCTTTTTCAAACGTAAACTGATTTACAGTGCAAGTACAAGATTATATCGAGTATCAATACTTACCCTATTAACTGGGCTTCCGGTGCATAACGACATCTAACTGCTTTATTAGTTTTACAAGCTCCAGTCTCTTCGTCCGGAGGCATTATTATAACAAATGGAGGTTCCTCCAGAAAGGTTACTTTGAGGCTAAATTTTTCCGGAACTCCTTGAGGTGGAACCGGAGAATTGGCTGGCCAAGTGATGTCTTTTATTTCCAAACCTTGTTCAGTCCAAACACCAATCTGGAAAGGGAAGGAAGAGGAAAATGTTTCATTGAAAGTAAAATCTAGTTTCGTCTCAATTCTCATGATGAAAGACATTTGTTTTGAAAAGTGCGCAAATAATAAAAATGATTATAACGCAAAATGTGAAACAATATTAGTCGCTATCAAGTCGTATGAAAAATCAATAAACAACAGATTATTGGCAACATAATAATTGTAATAAAAATAATGATAATAGTGAAAAGCAATAGTAAAGTGATAACAATGGCGAGATGAAAACACGTTTAGCTTTTTATCAATTGCATTCAATTGTTTGTTTATCAGCCAGAATGATACAATATTAAATCAAATCTAAAAATAATACCATTAAAACTTTAACCATTCTCATTGTTATCAAGCATTCTGTAATCGTTTCACATTCTTTTTCACTTTTATTTTTCTTTATCCTTACAACTATTTTCTTATAAAAAAACCATTTTTTAACATTATTTCTTCTTCTTCTTCTTTCACTTAACCAATCATTATCCAACTATTACAAGATTATCTTGCATTCCATATCCTAAACTTTTGCCACCAATTTATATTGATGCATTTGTAAATCAAATAATTTATTTTCTTTATCATCAGCAAATGTTTCCTCAAAGATTCACTCCCATTATTGCTGTAAAATTCAACACTTTCAATAAGCTTCCCTTCAACATTATTGCCTTCCTTTGATAAATCTTAAAGCGTCTTTTGATTAGCTGATAAAACTTGTGATTCCGACAAATGACTTTCTATTTTTGTCTGACTTACGTTCCAATTGGAAGAATGCAGAAAAAAATGTTTACTGAATTTCAATATAAGTTTGTACTGGGTGACGATTAAATGCTCAAGTAAAGTAAAGGATAAAAATTGCATTTCTCAGTCGATTTCTCCAAATTTTCAGGAATGAAATCTGAAAAAAGGAATCACATTTTAAAGTTTAATGCTTAACACGTGATCATATGACTTAATGTGGGTTGCAATGAGGATTTTTTTCACGCGGGCTATTTCAACAGTATCGTAACGTTTATCGTAACGTTTACGAAATTGGTTACTTTGTTAGAGGAGCTCAAATTTTTGATCAGATAACAAAGCTGATGAATAACTGTTGAGAAGATGAAAAACAACTCTCGAAGTCAGGTTGAAGCAAATTCCTAGACAGGTTGCTTCGTGTGATCACCCGTGTGATTCACTTCGCAAATGTGATTTATCGAATTCCTTTCTTCTTGTTTTTCATTCCTGAAATCGACTAAAAAATAAGATTTTTATAGCCCTTTACTTTACTTGGGCATTTGTCACCCAGTATTAGGTAGTGTAAAAAAGTCTTGTACAGTTTTTCAATATTTGATTTCAAATGATTAATTAACACAGTTAGATGCATCCAATTGGTTTTATCCTTCGAAAAATATCAATCAATACTTAATGTTTAATTTGCACCCAATTTCATGATAAACATACTTAAATTTTGATCATATTTGAAAATTTTCCCCAAAGTTAAATTAAGAATTAAAAATTCATAATTAAGAAAATTTGCAGAAATCGAAACTTGAATTCCATATAATCACTGATAAAAAAATTGAACACTTCTAATCAAGCCTAATTATTTAATGATTCTGTTTGATTGCTGAGAAAATTTTATTTTTTCAAAATTTCCATGAGTTTTCAATGGCATTTTTTATTAAAATCTAAAAAAATATACAAGACTGTGCAAAAAGCTTTGGACCAGAAGTTGACACTGGTAAACCACCAGAACGTCGTACTTTGGGAGGTATGAGTTTTGAATTCTGTAATAAAGCAAGGTATTAATCTAGTTTTTTACTTGCCAATATTTGTAGTACATAGAAATTATAAGGATACAAGTAGAAAAACAAGGAAAAGGGAACACAAATCGGAACAAGAAGGGAAAGAAGGGAAAAGAAAAAAGTAAAAAACGCGAATTGGAAGATAGAAAGTGAAGATAAGATAGTAAAAAGAAATAGAAAAAGCGAAAGTTAAAACTTAAATGAACGCAAACGCTTAGTAAATCCAATCATGAAGAAAGACTTAAAACTTAAAAAGCAACTTTGGATCAGAAGTTGACACTGATAAACCACCAGAACCTCGTACATGCGGAAGTATGAGTTTTGAATTTAGCGACGGCTGAATTTTCGATTCTGAAATGAACCAAGGTATTAATCTAGTTTTTTACTTGCCAATAGCACTTGTAACACATAGAAATTATAAGGAGACAAGTAGAAAAACAAGGAAAAAGGAACACAAATCGGAGAAAGAAGGGAAAGAGTCAATGAAAAATGTGAATTAGAAGATATAAAGAGAAGAAAAGTATAAGAAAGGAGAGAAAGGAAAAGATGGTGTAAAGAAATAGAAAAGGCGAAAATCAAAACTTAAATGAACGCAAACGCTTAGTAAAAATAACTTTTCTATGGAGATTGTATGCTGAATGAAATTTTTATTACGGTGGAATAATCAAATAATGGTAATGATTAGAATTTTAGATTTCAAGGAGTGATATTATTGGATTCAAGTTTTCGATTTCTGCTAATTTTTATTAATTATGAATTGTTGACCAGTTTTATGGCACGATTTGATTCGAAATTTGAAAATTTCCAAAAAATTATGATTTAACTAAATCAGAATGCATGTATGTTATTCGATAATTTCAATCATGAAATCGGGGCAAATTCAAGAGGCAATACTGCTTGATTATTTTAGAAAAAATCAAAACAATTGAATAAATCTAACTATATTGATTAATAATTTTAAATCAAACATTGAAGAACTGCCGCAGACTTTCGGGTTTCACCCAAATATTAAAAGTATTTTTGTAAAAAAATTATCATGAAATCAAGAATTTCGTTACATTTAATTTTCATAATTCAACTGATTCTTGTTGAGAAATTTTGAGAGTTCAAGTCACTTTGTGAAATGCAGCTTTTCTTCGTGCTTTTTGAATAATTCATGAAGAGAAAGTTAAAGGTTCGTGAATTTGTTAGCATTTAAAAGGTCGATTCATGTGATGTTCCAGATTCTATTATTTGAAACGACTTCAGGGAATTGATACCTTACAAAGAAAATTAACTCTTCTCTAGTTAACTAGCAATTCATTAATAGAATTCTGTAGAAGTGAAATTGATGTTCCGAGAACAATTGACACAATTAAGCCCAAACCAATTCAAAAAATGTTCGAATTCCAGAATTTCTACAATTCATGAAATTTTCTAATATTGACTAACCGTTCTAAACTTTCAGTTAGACGACAATGGATTTTGAAAATTTTTTATACAATCTTCTACAAATCTTTCTGAAAGCAAAAACTAAATTTTAATGTCAAAGACTTTTAAGGTTTCAACAGAATTTTTGATATTCCAGTTGAAATGATTAAATGTAAATGAGATGATAACTGATTGAAATGTCGATTTTCTTCCAAATGTTATCGACCAAAGGTGAAGGTATGAAATGACCTTTCGAAAGATTATTGTAATCGATTGAATTGTCTTTTGTTTTGTGATTTGAAAACCATTTACAATTTTCCCTCTTCTACTTCCCTGTCTACCTTTGCATCATGTTTATCAACAAGGAATAATATTATTCTCATGGAACCGCAATTTTTCTTTCTCATTGCCATAATAATGACAACCAGTGTAATAAAAATAACGATGATATAATAATAGAGATAACAAGAGAATACAAACCTTTTCCCAAATTCCTCCCTGGTTAAGATTCATAACATCCAATTCAACAAACTTGAGCGTTCCATCTAAATTAAACTCTAGATTAGACTTTCCATATTTACTCTTTATTTTAACACTTCTCAGATATCTGTGAACATGGAGAGGAAAAAAAGGGTTGAAAAGTTATTAAAAGATGAACAAAGTGCAGGAAAACTGAGCAGATTTATAAGTTAAGAGGAAACCCAAAATGAGATGAAAAGTTGAAAATAAACAGAAAAGCAAATTCACTTGTTTACCAGAAAAATGATGAAAAATAAAGTTGCAACAAATTAACTAATCCAATTGGCAATTGATGAAATTGAAGGAAAAGTAAAAAAATGAATCTCTTTTTCAATCCCTTCTTCTTGCATGTTTTTCCTATTACTTTTTGTTTTTATTATTGAATCACTTTTCGCCAATATTTTTGGATAAATGAAATTGTACTTTGTTTGTCCTCACATTGGTAAAGAGATAAAAATTGCTGAACAAAAAATGATAAACATGAAAATGGTAAGCTGATAATGGTTATCAAGTGTTGCTTGTATCTGATTATTGTAAATATCTTTTATCCTTTTCTTTTTGCTCATTCATTTTGCTTCGTTTTATTTTTTCGCTTTTATTTGTCTTCTTCTTCTTCTTCATGTTTCTTTCATTCCCTTGTTAATCAAATTGTTTCCATGTTGAAACTTTTCTCCCTTCACAATGAATAATTTCTTCTTTTTCTTGCATTTCTTTTTGCTTCTTCTTCTACCTTTCGATGGTTTTACGGTAAAAATTTTGACTCGCAATTTGTCAACCAATTTGTTTGCTCAGTCACCTGCCATTTATGGTGCGCCAGTAAAGAGGAGAAATTTTTTCTTCTTTTTGTGCCAATTCAAAATTGAAACGTTTTATCAGAAAAGTATTATTAGTTGAAATGTGGAGTAAAAGTAACCTTTTCAGGTTCGTCTTGCATTCAGTTTTTAGTTCAATTTTGATGCAACATTTTTCTTGTGTTTTAATTTACTTTGAAATTCTAGGCACAGCTTGACTTTTCATCAGTTACAAAGTATTTTTGATATTCTCTCTCGCAACAAACATTTTACTTGGAAAATCAAATCATGAATCAATGTCGAAGAAAATTTACTCCTCTAAATTGCTCAGAAATTTGATTCATTTTCGTCAATCAATTTTCAACTCGTTCGCAATAAATAACTGCCTTGGATTTTTTTCAAGGGCAGACTTAAGACTCATCAGAAAAAACATTCTCAGGTTAACTAAAGGATCGTGACGTGATCGCGTACCAAAATAACTCAGAAAAACAGAGTTCAGGAGATTCAAGAATACGAAAAAGGTTTGAGGGTTAAACTGAATCCAGTTAACTGCGTAATTTACATCAATATTAGTCCTAAATTTTGGAACTCATGAGAGTCTGAATTTAAATATTAAGCATTTTCCTTGCAAGTTTTAAGCATTCGCTTGATATTGGAGTACAAATAAAGAGATGAAATAAGACAATTTGCAAAGCTATTGAATGAGTTGAATCTTAGTTCCATAATGTTTATGCAAATTGGAACAATGAAAGTATTCGAAGAGTCATCGAAACTATTTCGCTAATTCATTATTCATTTATGCGTTTCAATATAAGCATTTTGCATTAAGATATCAACTGCAAGAGTCAAAAATTTCTGCTTTAATTGATTTTAGTTTTAAATCTGAAAAATTTTTCGATTTCATATTTTTGCACATCAACATGACAGTTAATAATGGTCAGAAAAACGATTGAACAATTTCAACTGATGCAACTTAAAATGGATGGAAACTTTCGTGACTCGAAATGATTGAAGCTGAAAGCGCAAAAAGACTGGTTCAGATGACAACAAAACTCATTTGTTTTCATCCAATGTTAATAGACACAGCGTTTAAAAAAAGATTTGAGTTACCAAAAGTTATCATCGAATCTGCATTTTATTTTGATTCTCAGTTTCATGAGAATGCTCAACTCAATAGTTCAGTTCTGACTCACAAGCAAATTTATTTTCATCACTCGAGTGAATGTCCAATGGAACAAAATGAATTTCTCAGATTAATATTTCTTCCTTTTTTCAGCCAATTATCACATTAACTTAATTTCCAATTCATTTTAATTCCTTTTACCATTTCATCGAATGACATGAGAAAACATTTACCTTGAATATTTGGTATCATCATGTCAATATTGAAAGGTAAAACCTGATCTCAAACAGCAACTCAAAATCTTTAGGAAAAAATGTCAAATCCCAGGACATTCTGATTGAATATCATTGATGAAGGGAAACTGTACAAATCTATTCTCAATCATTGCAAGGAATGACATTTATTAAACATTGGCAAGAGATGAAATTGCAAGATTGACTTGTCTCAACATGATGAAAACTGTTTACCTTGAAAACGTGAAACTATCCATTCAATTGAGGAATGAGAACAAATTTCAATTTTTGATGGACAAATGTTAATCTCGATTTTCTCTTTCCTCCAAACCTTTTACATGGAAAAGCCAATAACCTAAATATGACTGCATTAGAATCACTTTGACTCCAGAAATCAGAATGAAATGCGTTTATTTGGATGGACAATCTTTTTCCAACATTTTTCATCTTCTTCTTCAATTTAAATTCTTGATGCAAACATTGGCTTTTTCAATGTGATTACATGGAAAAAGAAGATTTGATTAACATTTTTAATTGAGATTCAATCTGTAAGTAAAAATGTTTTCTTGGACGAAAATCAATTAAAATGAATTTCATCAAAAGTCAATGTTTAGAACAGAAAAGAAAAGGCCAAAGACTGTTCAGGGTAACATGATCCATTAGCATGATAAACTTGAAACATTGAAAAACAGGATAAACATTGAAAGTCCAAGACATGATATTGAAAGTAAAGGTAGAGTTAAATTGCGAAAGGATACAAGGAACTTGAAAGTAGGAAAAAAAGTAAAGCAAAGTAATGATAAAGATGAAATAGGCTGACTACGATGCTCTTGAGACGCTTAGTGTGCTAAAAAAGGCTCAACAAAAGGATATTCCCTGTTGAAGATGAAATGCTGGAAAAGTAGAAGAACAGAAAAAAGAGGAAAAAAACACTTTAACTGAACAGAATTGCCAAGTTATCAGTTTCACCATTGAAATGATTATTCTTTTTCGTCTTTGAGGAAAACTGAAAACGCACAGAATGATAAAGAGTAAAGAGATAAAATCTCGTTGGCTCAAAGTTCAAAAGTAAAACTCGAAAAGTAAGGGATCAATTAAAGGATGCTGGGAGTGAAAAGGGTTGCAGTGTGTCTTTGTCAATGACAATTATTGATGATAAATGTTTCACCATTTCAAATTCATTTTAAAAGTGGTTATCTTAATTGTAATCTGATTCGTTGAGGAATTACAAAGGATGAGTTTCGGAACAAAATTTTCACCAACACTTTTCAAGATTAAATTGATTCAAGTAGAAAGTATAATCGAAACACTTTCATTTCTTAAATGATTCTATGAAACTGATTTCAGAGCAAAAACTGAACAGAAGTCCAAGTGGAATATGTGAAGAGAAAAAGTCGAAAATTCGAGTTAATTGAATAGACGAAACTAAAGACATAATTTTTTCGTCTTTTCCTTGTTCTGTCTATAAGATGCTCAAGCAGCTTGCTAAGTCGATGTAAAATTATCGAAGATATCGAAATGGCTTTCAGTGAAATTAAAGTTGTATGAGAAACAGCTGCTAATACAGCATCGAAAGTAAAGTTAGAGCTGGTTACGTTATCTTTTGCACATTGTTTGGTAACCAAGCATATTTTAGTAGTCAATTTTTAGAGATAAATTAAGCACAATCAACATCAACCCGAGGCTCATTGGTTAAGGCATTGAATCGTTGTTGATTGTGTTGATTAATCTCAAAAATGGACTACTAAAATATTCTTGGTTACCAAACAATGTGCAAAAGATAACGTAACCAGCTCTAACTTTACTTTCGATGCTGTATAAGTTTCAGTTTTAAATCATAAGCCGTCATGAAAGACCTCCAATGTCATGCTCTTGTACAAGTCAAGAATTGTTAGAAATATCGATTCTGTTTGAAAGTATTTGAATAATAAAGTTATCCATCAATAACTTGATCTTCATTCATTATTCACCAACAAAAAAAGGTTCAAAATTCCATTTTTAGAACATGAAAAAAATTTAAAAATAAACCTTTTAAACGTTTCCAGTTGTTCGAAACTCAACTCAAGTTTCCTTTTTTCTTGTACTTCATTACTTAAGCCTGACTCTTACAAGTCAAGAGCAATCCGGACAAGCCGTAAGACTTTAACCATTCAACCTAACAAGGTTAATCCAATAGCATCAAAATTTATAAACACTAAGACCTTTTTTTTCCAGTTGAATAATGCAAAAGTTTCATTTTCACACTTAATTGTATCTTCATTAATGCATTATCATTAAACCAACATTGGCCAAAGCTGTTGCCGTTTCAATATCTTTGCGCATTGAATATAAAATGACTCCCAGACTGACCAAGATTACCAGATCCATATCTTTTCCCTGACCAATATCTTTAACAACCTGCAACAATTTGGATGTAATTTTATCTCAAAATTTCGAAACAACGATTCTGTTGTTCATTTGTATCATTTTCATCATTATTATTTTCATTATTTGCTATCGGATTTTGCGTTGGTAACAGCAAAAAAAGCTAGTCAATTATACTTGGCTATACTCTTGTTATCACTTATATCAATTGTTTATCTATTAAATGGATTCTTACTTTTTCTTGCCTGGTTTATATCCTAAATAGCAATGAACCAGATAACTTGTCAGGTGAATAATTTCATATTCACATTTCTCCTTTTTCTGGTTCACTCTTCAATCTTCTGTACAATCAGAGAAGAAATTTGTTGCAACTTTTCATTCATTTCCACCCTTTATCCTCATCACTTTTTGATAACAGCCTTTCATCATTGTCATTCTTTACCAATTGTTTGGTGCTTTCGTTTACTCTAAATTATTGACTGAAGAGAGAAAATGAACAGAAAAAACGATTTTTCTCTTTTCTTTATATCACAACTTTTACTCATCAACTTTTAATGCACACAAAATTATCTTTAAATTGTTGTCAAAAGAGTTTAACTCGAATAATTGACAAACAATTGATGATAATAGAAGGTTCAAGCAAATTGATTTTTTACTTTTATTCGCTCGTAAAATTTAATTTGCTCATTCAACAATTGAACCAATTGTTGAACAATTGTTGAGGCAAAAAAACTGATTTGATATTGTTAAGTGATGGAACAAGTTGACGGAAAAAGTTTGCTTTTTTTGTTCGATAAACGTTTGAATTTGCTGACAACTTTTTTGCGACATTTTTTGTTTGAGAAACAATTGCGTTTGAAAAGTTGATTTGAAATCAATTTTTTGGTCTCATTTTGTGAAACTTTTTTCTTCTGCTTTTCCTTTTAAACCAAAGTCTTTCAATGATATTAGTTTTTTTTGTTTTGCTTTGCTTCTGATAAACTTTACTCCATTGACCACTCCAAGGGTTTGCAAAGCCATTAGGCCTGTAAGAGGTAAGCAAACAAAGGTTGAATAAAAAGGAACAAGAAAAGTTGACGAACAAGAAAAGAATATTGATTTGTTGATTATCTTGAGATTTATAAAACAAACAACTCAACAGCAAATTTTTTGTTCAACTCAAACTTGAACAAAAATTCAACATTCGTTTATCTTTTTTCTTATTTTTTGCCTTCTTTTTGTGTTTCCTTTTTTTCAAAGTCTTTTCAAACCATTGAAAGGGTAAACATGAAGCTCATTGATACTAACAAACCAAATTGATACTGAATTGGCTTGAAATTTTTCATCCAAAACTGTTAGCTACAGAGTCTAGGGTAATGGTTAATGATGAAAAGTAAAATGATTTTCATCTGATAATCTTTTACATTGTTTCACTTTCGTCTATTGAATGTTTGATGGAAATTGTTTTACCCGTTTTATGGCCAAAATATTCATAGATGGATCTTTAGATTGCAAAGTTTTTTGGATTATTTTGCAATTAAAGTTGATCTGGTTACAAAAAACATTTTGATATTCAACTTGACTTGAATGTTTGAGTATAAAGTTAATGTTTTTAAAAGCAAACACACTTAAAATCAGTCAAAGTTGAATATCGGTAAAAATCGCTTAACTTGACGGACCGAGTCGACTGAACTTTGACTTGCGATTTAAAATATCGCTCAGATTTTGGTGAACGATCGGTTGATCTAGATCATATTGCTAACGAATCACAGAATAGGAAAAAACTTCTGTGTATTTATTTTCTGATCTCTTATTCCCTTAACAGAAAATGACCTCCAAATGTTGAATAAAGTTTAGTTAAACGAATGGCCTTGAATGACCTTGAAACTCAACTTGTGACAATTTTATCATCAGTTACTTATCGTTAGGAAATAAACTCTGCAACATCATAATTGAGGTGTAAGCACTCGATTTTTGTTCAAATGTCCTGAACATCATCAAGATATTTTGCATTATTATTGTGACAAGAAATTGATTAAACTAAAAAAGCATATTCCTAACAATTTTCATTATTATTTTGATGACTAAACTTGATTACATCTTAACATGAGTTTACTCAAATAACTGAAATGTTAAACCTTTCATTATTACTTGTCTATTATTAGAAATGTTGAATGAGTTTTCAAGGCGCATTTACTGAAATTACAAGATTCTTGTCAATGTTCGATGTAATCAAACCTTGAAGCTTTAAATATCAGGTAAAATCATTTCATTTGCACCAAATAATGGAACAAAACTTGAGCATAAAATGAATGGAATCATTTCTTAATTACAATTTTCGCTCAATTTTGACAGCTTTTCTCTTTACTTAAAATTGGACTGATTTTTTGAGCCAAAATTAGTCAATCGACTTGAGAATTGCATATTCATCTCATCATGATGATCACCAAATGTTGAACTATTTATCAAGGTAAATTAATGCATTAACATTAATTAGTCTATTTTTGCATTGAAGGTAATGATCAAGAGATTGAGTTTATTATCAATAATTAAATATTTCATATTGTTTTTGGTGCTCATTATTAGCCAGGTTTACCGGTTAACTGTATCATAATGATTATAATTTGATTAAAATTTACTCAAATAATCAAGTTTATTAATGAGTTAATAATCATCATTCAAGAGTATTTAATCTTTATTTAATTTGTTTCCCTTTGGCTTCGTTTTCGCCTGCTTTTTCACAGTTTCACCCATTCTCATTGATTAAGATGAACAAAAATCATTTTTCATTTAGCCAACTTTAGCCTTACCTTAGTTGACTTATTATTCTGATAATAAATTATAATTACACTCTCAGAAGCAATACTAATTAACATCCCTTGATAACTTACATTTTTACTCCAATGAATCTCATTTGAGGCAAAGAGGCAACGAGGAAAAATGCTGATGAAACAATGGGCAAAGTTGAAAGCTAAACATAGTAAAACTGGGAGAGCAAATATTTACTGACAATGTTCATTCTTATTCACATCAATCTCCAACTGAACTTCAAGTATGAACCATCTTATGAACCTGTTGAACGCTTCAATACTTTTTTTCTTAGTTAACCAGAATAATCCGAATCAATCTAAAACAATCTCAGTGACAAGTTAAATATCTGATACTTTGTTTGCCTGAAAACCAGGGCAGAGGGAGCTGTTGTGCCTCTACATCAGCTGGTTACCCTTTCATCCTCTTAACCTGATATCAAAATATCGAGCAATTTTCTGTCTAAACACTATGAATGTAACCAAATTACCCGAAAATGGGTAAACAACGATTAAAGATTGGAGTATTGAAGAATCGCTGCCATCAGTAAAAATCTTATTTACCATGAATTCATGAAATTTCTTATCGATATCAGTAGCTTTATTTAAATGAAACAAAAAACATTTAAAATTATTGAAAATCAAATCAAGACTGAAAAGTTCAAACTGATGAATTTTAAAAATGATATTTGAGTAGAAAATCCTTCAGAATTTTCAATTTGATACAGTTGAGGCTTGAAACTTGTCTAGACAATGTTATGCAAGCCTTCTCTTCCAAAATTAAGTTCAGTTCAGTTGACATAACGTAGTGATTGAAAATTATCCAACTAGCTAGGAAACAAACTATTTAAGTGGATCTAGCCATTGGGTAAACAGGCTGGCTAGTAGCTATTCATCAGCTAAAGCTGGAATAAAAAAGTACAAATCTAGGAAAAAAGCAAAAGGAAAAAAAATTGAATGAATTTTAGTCTAAAGTTAGCCTGAGGTTTTATTTAGCCATTTCTAGCATTTTGTTCATTAGTCAACTTTAGTTATAGACCATGATGAACCGTAGTCTATTTTATCGACTTTTTAGCGAGTGATGTAACTAATGAATAGTTCAGTTATCGGAATTCCAACGACCACTATGAAGTTGAAGGCAAAATAGTGAACTATTGGTCTTGAATATCTGTCGCACCTTGGAATGAAAATAATTGAAATATTGAGAAACATTTAGATTGATCGCTTTGATAATTTTTGATGAGATTTGCGCAAAATGTCAAAAAAGTCAGATTTACGTCAAAAGACAAGATAATCTTGAGCTTTTAGCAGCAGATAAGGCGGTTTATCATTGAATTCAAAACAATTCCATCACTAAAAGCTTCAACCTTTTAAAGACTTACATTGAAAATATTCCTTCCCTGTCAAAATCCACCTTTCATCTCAACACTGACAACCTAATTTTGAAAATCATTTTTTTCTATTTCGACAAACTCTGAATAATCTAAACAATTTTCATACAAAATTTCCAATGAAATTGATTATCTTTACCTCCATGAAATGGGCTAAAATGAGGATCACAATTTCATCTTGATTGGCTGATTGTCCGCATAAAGTCAATAAAAACAAATGCAATAGCTGTAAAGATAATAACAACAATAATAATAATGATGATGATAATCTGATTATCAATGCTGTGATTCTGTGCCTACTTGATGTTCAATTATTTACGCAGGGAATTTGTTTTCACAATGCAATTACCTTGATATTTATTTTGTCCATTTATAATATGAAAAAGGATCACATTTAATACCCAAAAAGTTGGGAGGTAAAAAAAAGTGAGGCAAAAGAGTTGAAAGCAAGTTGCAGGGAAGAGCAAAGTAAAAGGTAAAGTAAAGTAAAAACAAAATCTTGAAGATCCATTTACTTTAACATTCATTCATTTCTAGAGGTTTGAGTCCATGTCAAGGGAGAGATCAAAATGAAACCAGAAAATGGACTAAAAAAGATGACTTTTTCTTCTTCTTCATCTTTTCTCTTTTTGTTGTTCTTTTGCTCATTCATAATGAACAAAGGTGAATTGATCAGTATTGATCAAAACTAACATAAATATAAATATAAATGGAAAGTCGAAGTGACATCGAAACTGGACAAAATTTTCTCGAGAAATTGGTTCAAATTTAAAGTCGATTTTGCAAATGCCAATCAAGGTTTAAGTATTGATTAACTTTACCAGTTTCAAGTTTTCTCATTATCGAAACATGGAAAAATAAAAGTTCGACTTTCTTCTGTTCATTCAGGTTGAATTTCATGTTAATGAGATTGGGTGAAATTGATGATGATGATAATAATGATGAGATTGATGAAGCTTGGCAAGAGACAAAAGAGAGATTAGATTTAGCCTTTATCCAAGTTAAATGGTTCCCTCTATTAAAGGGTTCAACATTTTCATTTTGGGTTTGCTCTTTGATTTGAAAATTGATTTTTTTCTCTTTTCTTTAAATTTCAAGTTTTCCTCTTTTTTTGGGTTCAAAATATCGAGTTTGAAAGAGAAACGTTGATTTACTTGAAAAATAGGTCACCGTTTTCCCATCTCGAGTCTCCAGATCCATTGCAGCTTAAATTGGGTGAAAGGCTTTTATTGAGATTGGAACCATCTTCAACGAACAGATCCAATGCATAGCCATATATTGTTACCGCTCGTTCAATCTCCTTCAACAGTTGCCAATGCGATGTATTGAAATGAATACCTGAGGTGAGGAAAAGAGGAAAAAATTCATTTCGAACCTTGAAGATTATTCTTTTTTAATCGGCAACTTTTTTATTCTCATACGATTGGGTAAACATTCAAGTAGCTATTCTTATGCTCGGTCAGTGAACAAACTTTCACCACTTATTTGGTTCACTATGTTATCTTCAGAATTCATCAGCATTTAAAATGAAAGTCATTTTTTCTCACTTGAATATTACTGAGAAAGTTTCTAAAGATTGCATTCAAATTGAACTTTTTAAATTGAACAGTAGATTCGCTCTGGTTTAGACTAATCTCAATTTTTTGCTTCCCTTTTGAGTTACATTTTGATACAACCTTTTGTTCAATTTTACACTTTTTATTCCCTTTTCGATTCGATATTAATTTTTAAAATCACTGATGACAATCAAGTAAAGGTCCAAATTCATCTGTATTCATAGTTTGCTATTTTTATAACCATTACTTTTTAATATTGCAACTGTGTTGTGTTAGTAATATTACAATGTTCAAATCATTGGTTGGCGTGAGAAAATTAAGTTATAACTGATCAGGGAATGAGTAAAAGTATTGGAAATTGAGCAACTTTTCTTTTGAAACTTGAACTTTTTTGAAATTCTCATTTGTTCTTCTTGCAAATTTCTAATAAAATATCAAAGTATGACTCTATTTGATTCTGAACATTTACTTGAAGTTGCAACTATTTCTAAACCTTTCAAAGTTGCATTTCGTTTCGTCTTAATTCTTGTTGGTAAAGATTTCGAAGAGTTCGTTTGAAGTTACACTTGAAGTTGGAAGAAATGTTGTCGACTCACCCAGCATTCCAGGAGGAAACTCATTTGGCGCATAATGTTCTGATGCTGTTCCAACGATGGATCGAGTGACAATCCAGATATAATTTTTGCCCGTAATTCCTAACGAACTGGCAGCTTCCAAAATTTTTTGAGCTTCTTGTTTAGTTGAATATAAGAAAATAACTCTTGCCTCTGATTTGGCCAATTTATCCAATTCCAATCTAATCTCAGCTGGAGTTCGCTTTTTAATAGTAAATATATCCAAAATATTGAATCTTGAATGAAGGCAAAAAACGAACAAAATTAGACAAATTGAACAGAAAAAAGAAAAGTCGAACAAAAGACAAAAGTTTTAAAAAAAGGAAAATCTCACTTGAAATCTTCGAAAGATAATATTTGATCTCTAACTGCTCGTACAAAATCTTCATGTCCACCAATGGAACTTGTGATTATTGAAAAAACATGCCAAGAATAGCGTCTTGCTATACTCAACATGGCAGATGCTTGATGCTCCAAACTGGGTGCCAACTGAAGAATCCTTGAATCTGATATTCTCTGAAAGCAAAAATACAAAATCATTCTCCACTCGAACCAAGAGAAGGCAACAAACAAAGTAAAAAAAAGTTGAATTGAACGTTAAAGCTGAATGATAAATATCATTCTAAATTGTTCATCATTGTTCATCATACTTGATCTGAAAACTCGAATTTGTTTGAATGGCTAAAAATGCTGATGAAGAATAAATTGAATAACTTTTTTTCTTCTTCTTCCTTTTCGAGGCTAAAAGTTTGTTGCTGCTTTCATCTGATTGACTTACAAGTTTTCCTCGTTTCATTTCCACTTGATTGTTAAATATTTACTCTCATTGTTTGATTAACAGTCAGCCAATTTAAATATTGATCAACATCAGAATCATCCTGAATCATCCAAAAATCATCAACATGAGCAACATCATCATAACATTATTATTTACCATTAAAACAATGGAATGAAGAGAAAAGAGCAAATAACGAACAAGAAAAACTCTAAACAATCAGGTTAATCAAAGTGTAACAACAAATTGTTGGACCTTTTCCCTTCTACTTTTGCCATTATTAAGCTTTAATTACAACATGATTAAAGGCCAAGAGCAAAATTGGAAACTAGAAAAGAATGGAATGAAAAAAAAGAGTTGAACAGAAACAATCAACAATCAGAATTGTCATGATTGTTGAACAATATTTAATCTAATAATTTACTCGATAGCCTCAAGGATTTTTAAATAATAAACCTGATAATTGGAATGAAATTGAAAATGGAAAATAATGGAATGAGGAGAAAAAACGAACAAAAATTTCAATTCAAATTGATTAACTGTAAATTGAATGTTTATTAGTTGATACAGAAAAAGCGTTCATTAAATGATATTTTATTATTCATTTTCAATCAATCTTTTTCATTCTTCTTTTGTTCATTCTTTATTGTTTCATTTGGCAACTTTGGCTCATCTTTTCATCTTCCCTTTCCCTGTAATTCTTTGGCTAAATGAAACTGACAATTAATTGATTGTTGATTACAATTGAGGAAAGAAAAGGCAAAAACATTTTCTCATTAATTCATTGTTGCTCTTTCATCAATCTTGACCCAAGGTAAAGTGATTAGAGTTGCATCTGAATACAGAAAGACTAACATTTATCACAAAAATGTATCATTCGAACCATTAGAAATCTTGAGATCGACTTTCGAAGTTGGAAAAAGGTTATCAAGCCGAACTTGATCAGTTCGAAAATAAACTTTTGAAGAGAACAGCAAACTCCAGCTTTTAGATGGAAAAGTAAATCCGTTTTTTGCTGAGTTTTGACTTTAGTCTTTGCTTTGAAAGGTCAAAGCTTGTTGGATGGAATCAGCTCGAAAAATGAAACAAAACATTACCTGAATCCTGGTTATTGAATCAAATTGACGGATTAGCACTTTGTCTAATCATTTTCTTGCATTCGAAGGATTAGAACGAAATAATCTTGAAAATGAAGGAAATGAATTTTCCACTTAAACAGCAAATGTCAATAAAAATATTAGATTAGCAAAAGGTATTAACTGTTTCGATGGGCTTTATGGAAATAACAAATTTGGTTAATAAAAAAAAGATTAATTGCTCTTTTCGATGTTTACAGCAATAAAGAACAGAAAAGGAAACTCGAGTTTGGACTGTTTGCTATTAAATGCAATTGACAATCTCATTTATTTTATAATACAAAAAATTGGGTTCGCTTTTTGGTTTACAGTTTAAAACATAATTGGAAACTAAAGTCAATTTTTTTCATTAAAATTACTTTTAAGTTTACTCTTATTTAAAGGTTGAGACAACATGCTAAAGCTAACGTGAAATAGGATTTCACACTCATTTCATACAGAAAGTCTTGCTTACTGAAAAGAGTTGCAAATTTGGTGAAAAGATTCATCATTTAGATGTTACTTTTCATCTTCTTTTGTTTTCGAGAAACAAACTTAAGACATTTTCGAGACAGTAATGCAATAAGTGTTCTGATCGCGTTTGAACTCAGCAAACGAGTCAATTTTTCTTTTCTTTTCAATTTTAATGGTCAATCATCATTGCATTCTCATGGCTATTGCAATGAAAACGATTTCTGACAAAATATTGAGCCTAAAAATGATTTCTTAGAGAAATAACATTGACCAATTTACAGCTCTCACAATGTTGTTAACAACATTTTTAGAAACGAAAGTTTGGATTCTAAATAACACTGAAATAAACATTGAATTTGAAAATGAAATATTTAGCTATGCAACCAGAGATTCACAGTTGACTTTAGAAATGCAATTTTTGAGCATTTCTTCTTGTACATAGTTTAGTTGCGGAATATGAATTTGCAGAATTGAGTAAGATGAGAACAGAGATCACATTGATCATTGTAATAATAATTTTGAATGTAATGGATAAGTTTGTCATATTGATGCTTCTTTGGTTGCAATTGCAAATCTTTACAAGACTGAACCAGAATTGAAAGCAGAACAATAAAGACTGTTAAGGATTTTAATGAACTCAAGGGGAAACAGAATAGTTTATATCTAATAAGAACGGGAAACAACTGCTAATAAAGATATTAATCCTAATAATTTGTCAATAACTTTATTCGAATTCAAATTGAATTCAAACCATTTCTTTGTTATTCAAATTCCACAACAATTTTATATTCAAGCAAGGAATCCATGAAATGAACGGTTTCCAGCATTGCTAACATCAAAGACATTAAACTGTTGATCCTGACAAGAACTACAAAACTGGACAAAATGCAAATTTGCTCGAAATTGGAATTCTGTGCAATTGCAAATGTATTGATCTATTAATGGCTTTGATTTTCTGGCGGTCGATCTGCGCCTTCAATCTTTATAATCTTCTGTACGATTAAATATGAAATGCAGTTGAAAGTTGATTAATTGCCATAACTTTATAATTACATTGAATGTCACTTTGATTGTAAATGAAATTATAACTGAAGAGGAAAATACGTTTTCAATTTCAAATGAATGTTAATATTTGGCTGGATATTCAATTACCAGTTAGACAGAAAGCAAATGTCAAGAAGAATCCATGAGATTTGTTCATGTCAAGATTTTATTTGATGGACAGTTTTGCGGTGTTCAAATGAAATACAAGTTTAATTTGTTTTCCGTCAGTCTCGAAATAATTATCAATCCTCAGTTTCACTAATCTCAACTTGTTGTTTGTATCCAATTTGGTCACTCGAGCAACATTAAAGTCTTGAAATCACCTTTTTGCCTTCTCATCGTCTTACATTTGTCATCCTTTTCTTGGGCAACATTGAACCAGGGAAGATGAAAAAGAAAAGGAGAAACAAAAACTTTTTCTGTTCCTCATCGAATCCATTGACTAGATTAATCTTGTTTTATGTTACATCTTTATCTTCTTCATCATCATTATTCTCATCTTAATCTTCTTCTCATAATTTTATTATGACTTTTATCCATTCGCTTTGGCTGCCCATGCTAAGAGCATGAACACACACACAAACAACAACTCAATAAATTTTGATAAATAGTTTAACCTTTGAGAGAAAAACAAAACAGAAAGAAAAGGAAAGAAACAAAAGAGGTTACAAAATTCATGTTATTCTTGATTCAATCAGAGTAAACTCGCAATTCTCAATGTTATCCAATCGATAACACAACAAGCCAAAGTGAAGGCAAAAGAAGCGAAAAAATTGTGAAAAGGAAAAACATTTTTACCTAAAAAAAGCTCACAATATTCAGCTCACATCGTTCATTATCAATTAAATAGCGTCAAAATCATGATCTCATGATTATTAATGAAATGAATACTTACTTGATTCTTTATCCAATGGAAAGGCAATGAAAGAAAAGAAGGAAAAAAGGTCAAAATTTTGTTGCCAAAGAGTTTCTCAATGAATCTTGAATCAGAGGAGAGTTTAATTGTTGAATGTTAACACAAAATTGGTCAAGATAATTAGCCATTTGCAAATTAAATTACCTCGATAATTGTGGTTATTAACAGAAAAGTTTGCTCTTTTTCAATTTCTTTCAGCTTCTTCTTTACCAACATTTGTTCATTTTTGTTGGATTATTGAATTTATTGTGATAATTTCATTTAAATGGTCAATTAACTTACCCAAACCTTTTACATTTTAATCAGTTGAACGTTTCAATAAGCCATTATTTAATGTGATTAAGGTTAATGATGTACAATTAATTTAGTTTTATTGTTCCCATTGAAATGGAAACTTATTTCCTGCAAAGTTGCTCAAACTTTTCAATGAAATTTTACACTCAATTTGCATAATTTTGCACACTTTTCATGCTAATTATTCATTACTTTCAAATGCTAAGCTCAGGGTTAACATTGAATCAATTTTGATGCAACACAAGCAAATGTTTGAGCGACCATTTCGCTTCATTAGGTTACATTGAATCTTGTTTACAAACAATTTGTTTCTCGATTAACTCAATCGACTTTAGAGAAATAAACCAAATTCACAATCAAAATCTCAATCAATGTTTTGCGATTTCGGTTCGAACCAGAAATTATTTTCTTTCTTTTCATTTCTTGTTTTTGGTTCAGTCTGAAGATTATTCTTGATCAAACATTGCAATTGATTGCGATCTTTCATCCAATAATATTTCATGTGAAACAATCCAACACCAAATTGATCAAGGTTAGTATATTTTCGAGCGAATGTCGACTATTTGGAAATGGAATGATGGAAGTTCAAGATTTGTATGTTTTGATATTTTCGGTTCTAACCAGAAGTTTGTTTTGCTTTTTCTGGTTTCTTCAATGTTTCTTTTGGTTCGTTTTTACGACTTTTTTTATCAATCGTTTCGATTGGTTAAGATTGTTCAATATTTCAACTGAAACTATTGAAACAATTGAGTGAATAAAAGATTAATGTTGTCTGAAATTTCATTAAACGTTATTGATAGAAAATATTGAAAATGTTTTATTTTCGTCTTTGAATAATAACATTTATATCTGATGATGAACCTAATGATTTATTGAACTATTCAAATGGCTTTGCTTGTTATAAATTGTTTGATTTTGATTTATTGCAATTTACTTGATTTACATTTAAAAGGGCAACAAAAAGGTCACTTTGAGATGGACAAACGGAAAAGAACGTGATTTATGATTAACAGTTGATTGATGAAGTTAAATTGAAGCAATTAGTTTAATTCATTTGTGATGTGCAAAAGCATTTTTCACTCATTTTTTCGACTTTTTCTTCTTCTTCTTCATTCTCTCAACACATTCAAAGCAAATGTTAATCAATTCAAATGGGTTGATATAATGGTCGATAAGATGTCAAGATGTAATGAGAGTCTCGAGTAACACTTGAATTCATGATGATTATGATAATATTTACAGATTACTGAATTATCGAGTTGATTCGTCCATTTGAATAATGAGATTAATAAAAGTCACAGATTGGCAACAAAATTGTTATCAATCCATTTTTGCCTGTTGAGATTAATTGTTTCATTCAGAATTGTAAAGTAAACAGAAAAAGCATTTATCATGAAATATTTGGCGAATGGAAATGGAACGAAAAAAATGAACATTTCCATTGACTCGACTTTATTTTGAATGTAATCACTTTTTTTCGTTTAATCAATTTTCGTTTATTCAATTGTTTCCATTTATCGCAACCTCTTAATGGTTTAAAACAAACAGTAAGGTGAACTAAGGTGTATCCATATTTCATTATTTATCATTGGGAGTGAAAAAAGTCAACATTTATCTTGGTCAGTCTTGAAGCAAAAAACAAATGGTCCAAGGGAATTGCAATTGTCCAGAGAGAAATGTGTTTGACTTGAGAAACAAAAAGTAAGGAATGGACAAAATGTTCAAATTAATAACTTGTACGTTTGTCATCAATGTTGGAGTACATCAATCAGGGAAGGAAAAAAAGAGAAAAGGCTGGGAGGTTTGAACAGTTCTTTTTACGACTTCTTCTTCTTCTTTTTCTCTCTCTCTCTTATTCTGTTTGCCTTGGTAAATGATTCTGAATGATTGTGAATGACTGTGAACCATTGAATGGTGAAACCCGTGAAATGAACATGAGAGGAAAGAAGCAACACAAGAAATGTTTAGAAACAGGGAATGATAACTGGGAGTGAAAAGTGAAACAACAATCAGCATAGAGAAGGTACAAGATGAACGATCAACTGATGAACTGTTTACACATTATTTGTATCTTTATGTTTACATGGTTTCTTATTCAAGTTTATCCAGCATTCATCAGGATCCCATGGAGTAGGAAAGGTCATACCTTGAAGGCAATATTATTTACCCATGAAGAGTGCAGATGAATATGATAATGAGCCTGATAAGGAGGATAATGATGATGAAGAGGGAATGATGATTTTCAAAACTGGATAAGCATTGACATCTTTTTTTCTTCGTTCTTCGCCAAAAGGTATTCTCTGCATGATTCCACAGATTATATCTGCCTCATGGAGTAGGTAAAATTTTGTTTCTTTTAACCTTATTGCTCATCATTTCATCATCCCTCCTCATCTCTTCACCCCTGCTCATCATTATCATTTGCTATGTCAATGAATTTACTTTGCCAGTTGAAACATGGAAAAGAAACAATTTTTGCGACTCTTTTACCATTCAGATAAGTGAAATGAAATAACTCAGTAAATGAGGATGGATGCACTTGACTAGTTGTAATCGATTAGATGGAGTCCTGGGCAACGCCAAGTCCTTTAATTATTTAATTGACTTTTCATTTATTCACTTGATTAACAAATCAGTAAATTTCTTCTCCTCTCCTCTCAACTTTTTCACATGCCAGTTCAGTAGAGTTGAAAAATGTTCAAAATCAACATGGTAACACAAAATCTTCAAGCTGGACCCATTTCAAGCCATTTATCAAATAATCAATACAATGGAGCAAATGATTACCAAATGGTTCAAGGATGGATAGACTGCAAGTCAACGGTAAAGGCAGAGTGAACCTTCTTGTTGTCACTTAACAAGTTGCCTTGTGCAGCATCAAGAGTCTGCTTCAGGCTATCCAAGTTGAAGGCATCACTTGATAACTGTTAAGTGATTATCAAAATTTGTTTAAAGGTGAAATTTCATCACGGTAATGGATAGCAACCTTGAATAATCTATTCCTGGATTCACCTTATTGTACCTGAATGGGAAAATTTAAAAGTGGCAATCATTCCAGTTTCCAATCATTCATCAATTTAAACATGAAATGTTTATTAGGATCAAATCAACTTTACCCATCAACTCATCACCATCAATGATGAATTTAGTTGCCATCAATTCATGATGTTCAAGGTAACAAAATCATGAACATTCAACTCTAGAGATTATCCAATCGAAACAAGTTATCTTTCATCTTACAGGGTGACTCCTGCCAATTGGCTACAATTAGTCAAAAGTTGCAGTTTGACTTCAAGGTTTAGTCAATGCTTCACTGAACATTCTTAAAATCAACAGTTGCAACGAAATACTAAGTTGAAAAAGGTTCCCATAATCCTTTAACATTTACTCATTTTCAAATTTACGACTTTTTCTCTGAAAATGTTTCAATCAAGTTAATAGTTTGAATGGAAAAATTAGTTTTATTGAACTTAACCAGTCTAATGATAATAAAAATTGAAATTACAAATTGCAGCAATGCAAGTAAAAATAGAAGGAAAAAGAGAAAAAAAATTCTGTCTAGAATTGAGTTATCAAATTCACTCCCAGTCAAAATGAAAAAAAAGTGTTGCCTCCTTGAGCAGTGAGAAAAAATGATTATGTTTAAATGATTAGCTAATTAATTTAGTCATTAGACAGTAATCTTCTGTCAGTTACCTTATGTCATTGTTTCTCACTGTACAATGAAATTCTCGTATTCAACTGGGAGTTCTTTTCCTTCTAACCTCCTTCTTAGGTCTAACGTCTGAACAACTTTTCTCAACTCATAAACTTTATTCATTTCTAATAACAAAATAAAAGGCGTAAGAAGAGGAAAACGAGGCCAAAAGCAGGGAAAAAAGATGAACAAGAAGAAGGCAAAGAAGAAGAAAAAAAGAGATTTCTTGAGCTTATTTCTATTTCTTTTCTCCTTAACCTTTACACTTCACATTTGGAAGCAACTCTTTTTTTTCTCCCTTTATTTTTGCTTCTATTTTTGTTTCATTTTCAGAAGTAGAAAGATTCCCTTTTCATATTTATTCAACTGTAATAAACCTGTAAATCATATCAACACTGACCAGTAAACTAATTGTATCACTGAATTAACCCTTGGTAACAGTTTTTCGCCTTCACCTTATTTCACCTTCTTTACCAAGCATTTAACCTGTTTATTTCACTTTTAATCTTTCACTTCAATTCATTTTGATTCCTTTTCCATCTCTTATTTATCTTTAACAAACTGACTCGAAACCAAATTGTTTTAATCTTGATAACCTTTAACTCCCTTCATTCACTCCCAACATTCACTCCCAGCATTCACTCCCTTCATCAACTCCCTTCAATCACTTTCCAGTTTCACTCCGAGAGCAAAAAATGATTTCCAGAAATGATTCACTCAATGTTGCAGTTGAAAAAAACACAAAAAGTAAACTCAATAATAAAATGTAAAATGAGTAATCATTAAAATTATTGAACAAAAATTGAAAACATTTATTCAATCAAATGAAACAATTTATTTTTCTGCCAATTAAACCAAGAGCAAAGTTTATCCTGAAACATTATCTTAAACTGAGTTTAAAAATGCAAAATAAGAAAAGTTTATTATTTTTTGTTGATCGTTATTATTATCACCATCAACATTATTATTAGCATTCAAAACACGTTTTTACATT